TGGGGATCTCCTGTGTTTAAAGGGCTGCCAGACCATGGTGCTCAGCACAGAAGCTGCCCATGTCACCAGTGTGCCAAGGGCTCCCCACACTTTCAACCAGAAATTTCACACTGCTGATTTTTTCCTACCTACATTCCCTCAGGAGGATCCCACCAAATCCTTTTTCCCTCTAAAGAAGGATGAAGGCTCTCACCTTGTCGTCATGAACTGCAATGTACTCGTGGGTCTCAAAGTTGCACACGACAGGACAGGTGAGAATCTGACCATGTTTAACTGACCAACAGCCCAGGGGCTTCTGATCCGAAATCTAGAGTCAGAACAAAGACACTGCAATTAAAATGTAACATATGAAAGATCACTTTGGGGACTTCTCTCATGACAGAAAGTAAATGTGAGGCAGCCACATCTGACCTGAATTAGAATATTAAAATATGGAAACTGCTATTCTCAGAAACTCCTCTTGAGCATTCATGTTTCTATCCCTAACATCAACAGTTTCAGAATAACAGGAAAGAACTCTATATTAATTAGATTTCTTTTCATGTAAGAAATAACTTTGACCTGTAAGAATGTGATGGGCTTATGCCATGAAGCACAGGTACAAGGCACGGCTTTTTCAAAAGGGCAGATACTACTTTGATCACTAGTGTAATTTGCTTTTACTGACTAATGGAATCATACACAGACTTGTGGTTATTCTCTTCCTATTTCAAGGTGAGTTATTGACATCAAGAGCATGTGGATTTTGCAATCTGAACTGTTCTGTGTGATTCACACCCGACTGCTCTGAGGGCACTTGAACCCCTCTCCTCACTCTGGAGTACACTGGGTGTATTTACAACACGGTTGGGTTGTCACCTATGGTCCTGGCAGCGGGAATGAACAACCCAAAGGAGGTTGTATCGTCAACCCACTTAGATCATGGAGTGGTCCGGGTTGGAAAGGACTTCAGACCACCAAGTCCCACTCTTGCCACGGCAAGGACACCTCCCACTGTCTCAAGGTGCTCCAAGCCCCGTCCAACCCGGCCTTGGGCACTGCCAGGGATCCAGGGCCTGCCCACCCTCACAGGGAACAATTCCTTCCCAATATCTAACCTAAACCTACTCTCTGTCACTTTAAACCCATACCCGCATGGATGTGATAGTCAACTAAACACAGAAACCCAAATACTGGCCTTAAAGTTTCTTATTATGGTCTACTGAATAACAGAGACCAGAACACACTTTCATTTTCAGGTGCTGTAAACTAGTCTTCCTGCTGCCAGCAGGACGGCAGCTGACAGTGAGCTGACAGCCCAGAACCTGGCACTGCAGGGAACACGTACCTGTGGCTTCGGGAAAGTGTTTTTGGGACGGGGAATGGACAAGAGAATATCAGCAAAAGGAGAGACCCGCGAAAAAGCGTCCGAAACGCCCCGTGTTCCCGAGCAGAGGGAGCGGGGACAGCGGGGAGCGCAGGGGGCAGAGCATGGCCGGGCCGGGCTGAAGTCGCTCCCAGGCCGGGGCCGTTCCCTGTCCCGCGTCCCGCCGGGGATGGCGCCCGGGGACAGCGGGGCCTGGCCCGGGCAGGAGAGAACGGCCCTGGCCCGGGAGAGAGGGAATACAGGAAGGAGCGCGGCCCCGGCCCTGCCCGGGACAGCCCCCATGCCGGGGCGGCGCTGCCGCCCCCCGAGCACGCGCGGGCGGTACCTTGAAGAGCGTGGCGGCGCGGCCGCGCTCGGTGAGCAGCACGAGGTCGCGGCCCGGGCCCGGCTCCAGGCACAGCCCGGGACCGCCGCCGCCGGGGCCCGGTCCGCGCAGCGTGAAGCTCTCGCACAGCGCCGCCATTTTGGCCAGGTCCGGCTCTCGCGAGTGTTGGCGCGGCGCGCGCGCCCCCGCGTGACCCGGGGCGGGGCCGGCCGGGGTCGGGACGAGCCCGCCGCTGTCGCGACAGGGAGCGCGCGCTGCTGTCGTGCGGCCCTGCCCGGCCGGGCCTCGCCTTCCCCCGAGCGCGCAGGGCGGCTCCTCAGCGGGCTGCGGCTGAGGCTGTGCGAGCACGCCGCGTTCCGCCTGTGTTAGAAACTCTAAGTATTGTAAAGGCTAAGGAAAGCGGGTAACGGTAGTGTCAGAACAGCGCCACAAAGCGGCACAGTCGGGGCTCCGTGCGGATCGCCCTCTCTCAGGTATCCCCGGGGCATTTCGTGCACTCTGCCCATCGCCCCCGCCGCCATTCCCACGGCTCGGCTGGTAGGGCCAGGGTATGCTAATGAGGGGTCAGGTTTATGCTAATGAAGGTCACGTGCACGCCAATGAGCGTGGTCACGTCTCTGTTAATGACGGTCACGTGCATGTTAATGAGGCGGTCACGTGTGCGCTCATTCGCTCGGCGATGACGGTGAAGCTTCCCCGGGCTTTGAGGCGCCCTCAGACCCAGCCCCGCTGGTTTCGGCCTCCCCGTGCGGGCGCTCCGTGCGGCACCGGGGAATCGTCCCAGCCGGCTCCGGTGGCAGGGCATGTCCCCGGGGCTGCGCCGCCTCTGTCCCCTTTGCGCCGTGCGATTTCAAATTAAAAACCTTTCCAGTCCCCTCGTTGTTCCCCCTGCACTGTCCCACGCTGCTCTGAAGCTTTTCCCTCCTGAAAGAGCGCTGCAGTTCCTCTGGAGCAGGGAAAGCTTCGTTTCTATGGAGAAAGTCTCTGTAAAAGCTTGTAAAGAATCGTTGTGCAAGGGAAATTTCTGTTGGCTAAAATTAACTGACTTGGAGACGAGCCTGAGAGGATTCGAGTGGTCTCTTTTCCAGTATTTTCCAGTTATTTGGTACAACACTGAGCTGCCAAATCCCGCATAAAGAATTCGATTCCCCACTGAAAAACTTCCTTGTCAAGCAAATGGTCATTTACAAGTGAATGGGCTAATGCCAGACTGATGGGGCACCTGCTCCGGTAAAACCTTTACAGAGCTGGGGCACAACAGAACCCAGGAGAGGCTGGAAGTGCTTTAAATTTTCCTCACAAAGCTAATTCTTTGTGCTATTTAATTTTGAGGAAATGACTTGCAGAGCTGGGCTAGAAATGTCAATGGTACATGTTAATGAGGAGGTTCCTGCCTACAAGAGATGCAGTAAGAGGAAACAGCCACCGTTGTAAAGAATAGTTGTTGGTAGTTTATTTACAACAAAATGCAACGAAAAATACAATATTAAAAATAATAAATAACTCGGAAAAAAACAGAAACTAAGTGATATGAGAAAAATTACAGTCAAATTCTCCTGCTGAGCCTTGCACTATCGAATGTGCAGAGCAAATCAAGACTTGGTCCTTCTGTGATGGTGGTGATGCATTGCCTGATGTTGCCATCAGTGCTCTAAATAAAAGAAATTAATTACTGGACATAACAGAATCATGTGGAATTATCACAGAAATGAAATAAACCAATAAAACCTGTTTTAGTGACACCACAAAACTACAGGAGATCATAATTCAATGACCATGCTGTTCATTTAAAGCAAAACATTGTTAGACTTATTTAGCAATTTTAACTTACACATAGAAAACCAAGTCCAAACAATGGCAACAGAAAATCTCGTATTGACAAGAGCTTGAATTCTTTCTTACTGCACTCACTAATTCATAAAAAGCATATACATTTGGCTTATTTCAAAGGATAACACATTGTTTTGAAGTTATAGTGCAGCAAGCTTCAAAGCAGTTTTAGCAAAGTATAGCGGTCTTGTTACAAACTGAAATTCAAGGAACAAATATTTCAGTTTCAAAGTCTCTACAGCAGCAATTAATGCAAATTGGCTACTAGATGTCACAAAATCACCTTCCAGAATAATCAAAATGTCAAAGAACAAAGTCAAATAGTTTCTTTCCATAGGATTTATCCAGTCCTTTACAAAATAAACCATTACATTCATAAGAAATCCCATTAGGTACGTGTTTCAGGAATGTGCTGCTCCTCACAGCTTTTGTTGATCCCTCCCTTTTTGATTTTTTTAGGAGATTGACCCTTCTGAAGCTGCACTGAATTGCCAGTTGTTTTGTAATGATTGTTCTATCCAAAATACACAAAAGTACAAGCAAAGCCTGGAGGGTTTTTATAGAAACCTGAACAAACTCATCACGATTTTTGCTCTGAACTGTATTCTTCTTAATAAAAAATTCCTTGCCAAGTCCTAGCAGAGCTCCATCATGGAATTCTTGTCACTGTGGCAGAGAAGAGGAACACGGCTGTGTTCACCATGCTCTGAGGCTGTACTCAGTACATAATCACAGCATTCTTTTTTGCAAACAAAGTGAGGAACACCTGCAAAACTCTCTATTTTAATCCTAATAAATGTGTCTGAAACTACAACAGAAAGGGAAAAATCAGTACTGAAAACAACCCTTTCTCCTCAAGGTGCTACACTGAAATACTCAGACCTTCCTTCTCATTTCATTTCATGTGCCTGCTGGGAATATTCTAAAAAAAAAAGCTATCTTACCCTAAATAGCAGCCAACCAAACAGAAAAAGGCATTTAAAGATCATATTGACCAGATGGGTGATGACTTCTGGGTAAAGCAAGGCAGAACTCAGCCCTGGGTACTTCCACAATCAGTGAAAACCTGGGGTATTCTTACCCAAAGCAGGGACACATTACAGATCCTTGAACTGGCTTTGATGGGGCAGCAGCGCGAGGCAGAGGCTGCTCCTGACCCTGCCAGGGGTGAGTCCAGCATGGGGACACTGAAACCGGGCACAGCAGGGGGATCCTGTCTCTCTCTTACATCTCTGCCACGCAGATATTCAAACCTGTCCTGTTCAGGTAGGCTAATGATTTTCACAAATGACTTATCCCCAAACCGACTTCATATCAGGATCAATGTGTTGGATCAGGATCAATGGAAATCAGTCAGTCAAACACCAGTAAAGGTGGGACTGCTGTGGTCTAATAATCTGTGTCAAACCCAGATTCCAAAATGTGAATAGAAACAGTCACGTGTGAGCACCAGGACACTGAATCACTGAAGCTCACTGAAGAGCTGAGCAAATTTGTCTTAGACAAATTAAAAATCCATTGAAACAGATTTTCAGGTGGAGCAAATCTGAACTACTTTGGTATAGGCCAAAGTCAGGCAATGAGAAAACAACCAAACAATGCTTTCCCTTTGCTGCCAATGTTCCAATCTTGATACTAAATCAATAATGACAATGAAAACATTACACTTGATGCTATGATTCCATAATGTGCACCCTTATTAAGCTGAAATCATAAACCAACGTAGGGAAGTTTTGTTTTCAGTATTACTGCGACTTCTTTTTAAACAAAACAGCATCACTGTCAGGTCACCAGTGACTTGGAATTACCAGCTCTGGGAAGAAAAGTAAAGCCAAGCATGGATGGGACATGGGAGAATGCAGGAAGTCAGACCACAGCAAACTCACAGAGAGCTCCTGGATTTTGCTGGCTGCAGGATTTTCACTATCAGACAAATGAACACTTGTTTCAGTGCAGGTTGGCAGTGGCATTACTTCTGCTCCCAAAACATCCCCCTAAATACCACACATTCCACAAAACTTGTGCTGCAGCTGCAGCCAGTGAGGAGCTCTGTGCATTTCAGCCACTGTGCCCAGGCTTGGGCACCCCCAAACTGAGTGTTCAATATTCAGTGACAGCTCAGCTCAGGAGAAGTCTCTTTATTTCTCAATCCATGAACCATCAGTGGTGGCACAAAGTATCCCTCCACTGGGATCATAATTCAGGTAGGAGCTGTCATTCCCTGGGACTTAACAGTGGCTCATTGATGTCACCAAGAGACAGGAACTGCAGCAGCCACGGAACAACAGCTTTTGTGGAAGAGAGCAAAGTGCCCCAAAGCGGGGGCAGCAGGGAAAGGGTCTCACCCAGTTCATGCTTTGAAGAGGAAGGAAGAGACCACTCCTGCAATTTATTTTTCTCCTTCTTCCACTGTCTACACTTCCCTCTGGGAAACATCCTTGTCTACAATTGAATTCCTGAGATTGAAGAGTGATTTCACACACAGACCAGGAAGAACACTTCTGGCTCCTTAACATCACCCACAATTTCTCTGCTTTTTGAAGTGACTGATTTTGTCCCCCTTCCCCAAACGAGGCAGTGCCTGGACCCAGCTCTATCTGATTGTTCTGTTTACCAAAGATGTGAGGCAGGGAAGAAAAAGGAGTGTCCTGTTTTCTTCTTTTTACATTCAAGGTCTCCCAGCCTAACTACCACTCTTCTTCCAGCGAGGAAAAGATAGAATTCATTGCTTTTGTTTCTTAACTGGCACAATTCAGCTGCTTTTCTCAATGTCACAGAACACCACTGATGAACACCAACACTCTGAGCTCACAAAAGGACAGGGGAGAGCTAGTAAAATACATTATCTACAAGAAATAGGTGGTTCCTTTTACAAATTCTGTGCAAGGTAGAAATAGTTCAATGGCCTCAAAGTCAGTATAATTAATTACAACTGGGGCTTTGATACAGTGATATTTTAGGTTTGAAAATATTTGTGTTTCGTGTTTTAGGCCCCAAATCCTGAGTCATATTAAGCGAAATGTGGATCTGTTGGTGTTCAAGTACAATGAGCTACAGGTTAATGAACACACAGGAGAAGCCTGAGAGTGGGAAAGATTTTAAAATTGGTTATAAAAGAAGAAAATGGGAGGGTTTTTTTTCTGTTAACCCTGCATTCTAGTTGGCACTAATTTGCCTCAGAAGTCCTTGGCAGATTTACTTAATATCTACTCCTAATTATAAATGCTGTGACCTAGATGAGGGTTTGCAGGCAGAATACTGCTACAGAAAGATTGGTTTTCGTTTATAGCATCCCCTCAGACTGTTCCATTGATGTCAGTAAGATGCACCATATGGCTTGAAACACTACTTTAGGAATATATAAACTACTTTCTCTTGCATGCACTTTTTCAGAAGGTTTTAAGGATCAGGTCTGAAGAAAGGAATCATCTTTCCACACTGGAAAGATTATTTGAAACAAACAAAAAAACCAACCAACAAACCACCACGACCTTTGTAGCAACTGAGTTATGTCACTCTTGCTGTGGCAGACATGGCTTATCAGGAGGAAGCATGCAGGGTTAATTTAAAAGGTTTTTTTGGATGGATCTGGAAGAGTGAGAGTTTCTGGAGCAGACTTTTTCCGAGGCCGATCTTTGGGAACTGTTAGGAAATCAGGAGCATCTGTGGAGAGAGGAGTTGATGGAGCACTAGATGGAGCACTGCGGGTTGAGGAAGGCATGGAAATGTTAGAGATAGATATTGCAGGTGGGAAAATCCCGATCTTCTTGTTGGTAGCTTCCTGAGTGGCTCGTTCAAACTCTCGGACTTCATCCATTGTCATGTCTTCAATAAGAAGGAACGAAAGACAAAGGCATGTTAGAATAATTTCAAATAATCATTTCATTAACTCAGTTAAACTACTTCCATCCAAATCCTAAATCAGGGAATGATTGCTTATCATGCATCTCATTAAGTGATTCTCCACATGAATGCCTCCCCATTGTAAGGCACTGACTGGAGCACAATGAGCACAATGTAAAAGAAACAAAGTTTTAAGTACATTAATCACGTACTAATGGTTCCTCTACCTGGGTCTGACTGAATAAAGATTGCTGCCTCAGTAATTGCTGGGAAAATCCAGCTATTCCACAGGCAACTGAAGAGTACATTTAGATACAGTCAGCAGGCAGCATTTTTCAGAACTCCAAACAAAATACGACTGAAAGGGCTTTTAAATTTTTCATTTAGATTACGAGCCCAAGTGGGCAAAGGGTTGTCACGGTTTGTTCACCTGCTGTAATTACCAAGGGATGGAGAATTCTCTCTCCTTCCATTGACTTGTAGCTGCGGCTTCATGCACAGGACCGAGCTTGTTTTGCCTTTCCACTGATAAAGCCTAAAGGATTCTCTCTCACTTGACAGAGCCACAAGATTCCAAGCCGCGCTTCCCAACTTTCCATCCGGAATCTGCACTGAAACCCCGGTGGGCAAGTGGCAAATCCACTGCTCTCAGCTCGCTGCCAAACGCGGGCAAACGAGAGATGAAAGCCCTTGGGAATGGAAAGCCGGGTGCCCGGGCCGTGTCCTGAGGTGCCAGAGGTGTCCCACAAGAGGGCAGCGCGATCCCAGCCCTGCAAAAGCTCCCGTGCAATCCCGAGGGAATGACATCTGCTACAAACTGGGAAGTTGAGCAGAAAATCAGCAAGGCTCTTCTGGAACCTGCTGCTCCATGCCTGCAGCGCCTGCAAGACGCCCACCGAGCCAACTGAAGGCAATGTTAAGATTTTTGCTGAATGTCAAGTTAAATTCATAAATTTGAAGTATTTCATTAGACCATTTATAGATTCTTTGAGCCACAAAAGCTCAAAAACCTAGAAATATAAAACCGGCAGTTTTTTAATAAATTAAGAAGTCTCATATATTCGAGTGTCTGAAGCACAGGACTGGCAGTGGGGAATTACCAAACATGTGAAAAATCCCTGTCCTTCAGGGCACTGATGCTTTTTAGCCCATCCCAGCTGCACACATGTGCAACCTTGGCTGTCAAAGCAGCTTTTTGTTGTGTTCCAACATCACATTAAATCAACAAAAGCGTGCATCGTGCCTGCTGCCTTCGCTCCTCCTGCACCACATTCCAGGGACCTTTCCAGCCCACACTGACACTCATTAGGAGTGAGAACGACTCCTGTTTCAGATCTGACAGAAGTGCTGGCAATAAACAGATGGTTCCAGGGGAACTATACCTACTCGTGTTGGAGAAAGGTTTCAACCTGTTTTGCTGATTTACACTTTGTTTCACACCCTGTGACAGTGGGTGAGCATTTCTGCACTTGAAGTGTCCCAAATCCCCCTGAAATCACAAGGATTTTGAGGAATTCTGTACGACATGAACCAAAAGCTGTCTTGGACAAATGAAGGGAACAGGAAGGTTTCTTGGTGCACTGTCCTTTGAAGTGAAGTCTTGCTGAGTGGAGCCTCCAAGACTATTCATTTTCAATTCAGACATTAAACACTTCAATTGACTTCTACTTTTTACCTTATATTTGCTTTAATTTCCTTCTGCTGTGATATGTGATATTTGCATTGTACACTCAAGGAAAGAGTCCTTAAACTGAGCTAGAAAGACTCAGATTCACTTTTTCCTTTTCATTAATAACAACTTCTGTTCTGACCTCAATGACAATTTTTCCACATGGAGACTACAGGTGGCAGACTTCATTCAGAACCAAGTCCTGAAGTGTAGAGCCAAAATCCGAACTCATTCTTTACTAAGGAGTAACCTTGATGTCAGTGAAGCTGCTGTGTCACAACCACAAGAATTTCCTTCCCAGGGACTACACAGACAAGATCTCCTCAGGCTGGGGACGGCTGGCACTGAGCAAAAGCCAAGGAAAGACTTGAAACCCTTCAAGCCTTGCCCCACAATGATAGCATGACTAAAGCCAGCACTGAGTTCCACAGCACCATTAGCAGAAATAAAGGAATAATGACATTTCAGGAGCAAAGGCCACTGCGTCTTCTCTATATGCAGAGAGTATCAATCTCTAATTTTAGGCCTCTACTTGTGGGGCCCAAATTAGGTAATGAAGTACTTAATGAAATCTCCAGAATTTGAACCAGAGAACCTACAGAGAAATCTGCCCTTTTCCACAAACCACTGTTACATGTTTCTGAAAATACTTCCCACCTTGTTGGTAGCTAATCAATGATGGTAACATTAAAGTTACCTTGAAAAGATTGAATAACTCATTAGATTTTTTCCTGGTGAAACAAAGAATTTTGTGAGTCCCATGGAAGTTTTCCACTCCCCATGTTCTTGGCTTTTTGACTGGACCACTGTGAACTCCTACATTTTTTAACTATTCAAAGAATAGAAAGTAAAAATCCTCTTTAACTTCCTCTTTATGCATCCAACTGAAATTTGAGTGCTGTGCTTTCCTGGAAGCCAGGGAGCTGTATATGAACCCAACCCCACCCTCCTTTACATAACTGGCAGGGTTACAGTGCAAACCAAAGGCAGGATTGTACTTCATGGAGAAAGATTCTGCTCTTATGGAAGCAAAATCTCCCCAAAATTCTACGGACTGATTGACAATTAGTTGCTCTTTTCTGGTCTGTGCAGGTGTATTGGCTGAGGATGGGCGATATGTTTTAAAAATTGACATACTCTTGCTTTGGCATGGCTCTCTATTTCATCCACAGTAGATGAATGTTGGTTGCAAACTTTAATGTTGGTTTTTTCATGCATATTTTTCTCGTATTCTCGAACATCATCCATAGTCATATCTGTAAAAAGTCCAAAATTGTTGGCATTTTCCATTGATTCAGTGCAAACTTTTTTTTTTTTCCCTAAGGAGAAGGTTCTAGGAACACAAAGTCTTTCAGCAGAAGCCAACTAAGGATTTTTAAAAAGCAAGGAGCAACTAGCTTTATGAAAATTGCCTCATAAAGGTAGTTGTGTCAGCCAAGGAAGGTGCGAGGTTAAGTCAAAGGGAGTCAGAGAACAGGAAGGAGTGGAAATTGTTTAGGAGTATCTGTGTAATGTAAGGTAGGCAGGAAGTACTGAAGTGCAGGCCTTGGCAAAGGCCAAGATCTTCTAAAGAGATTTTAGAAGATCCTTTGGAATAAAGGATAGATACAGAAATATTATAAATATTTACTTACCTTTCCAGCACTTGCAAAAAGAGTTTTTGTTAACTTTGCATTGTATATCTCATAACCAGCAAAACCCTTAGTGTTAGAGCCCACACCAGTTTAGATTCCAGAAACTAACAATTAAACTGGTTAGTGAATTAATAGTGACTATGTTAATGGTTGTGTAGCCTCGAGCAATTGAATGAATGATGAAAATTAGAAATATCCCACAAATGAGGCTGATCCCCCCAGGAGGATCACTGAGCACTGCCCAGCCTGGCTGGGGGTGTCCACCCAGCACAGCCTGTCAGGTGCTGTGGAACACCAGGCAAAGGTTAACACCTTTAACAGGATTTGTCATCAACCACAACTCCAGCAAAAACATAAAGAATCCAAAAAGTGACCTGGGACTCTCCTGAGTATTCCCATGCTTTCCATAAATCCACTGGGGAGTGAGGAGTCAGAGCAGGAGCAAGTCAGAGTTTGGTCTGTTCTTTACTTTGGTAACTTCAGAGCCTCGTAAAAACAGCCATCAACTTTGTACTCAACACACTGAAGAGTATTTTATTAGCACAGTCTGCTTGCAAATGGGTGCCCCTTTGGCCATGCACTGTGATCTGCTCTCAAGGCTGCCATTTTCCTCAAGTTTACAACATGCCACTGGAATTTGGGAATACTTGTATCACCCCACTCCTTGTTCTGTGCTGGGAGGCTCCTGCTACATTTTACGAGGCAGCTTTTAAGGCAAGATACAACTTCAGCTGTTGTAGTGGCAGCACAATGTCATAATTCATCAGTAAAAAGAAATACAGTCTAAAATTTTGATCCAAAGGAAACATGGAATACCCCTAACTCGTACTCTTTCAGTCTTTTACTGTTATCTGGAATGAGAAACAAGCTCAGAAGCCGTGTCAGTAGCATGCTGGGATGCACTTTGCCAAGCAGAGAACATGCTCTTTATTAGTAAGTAACACTGAGAAAATAGAATTTCTTAATAATAAGGCTAAATATAGTTTAGTAAATTAAATGACAAAACATATTCATACTTACAGGTTCAGCAACAGCAACCAGACATTAACATAACACATTGTTTATTACACTGATTATTTGGTTCAGTTTAGCTATCATCATCTCCAGGTCTTTCTCAAACTTTCATTTTAAAAGAGGTTAATAGACATTTAAAAATTATAATTTTGATGCTAGATTATTTTATCTATTTTATTAAGCCCAGTTTTTTTAGATTTTGTACTTAGGCTGATAATTAAACTCTTAAAAATACATTATAATAATTAGTAAAAAGGCTCACCAACAGTAAAAATCCACAAGATAATTGTGTATCACAATATTTCATTTGTGGAAAGAGTATTTTTGATAGGGAGATTTCAGACTTAGGAGGGGAAAATCTACAGTGAAGCATTTTTGAGCTAAACCTATTTGGTATGTTTAACTTCATGGCAATTCATTTGTTGTCATTATCAGTAACTCTGCTAAAGTGCAGCTGACACTTTGCTCCTCAGTAACATTCTCCATCTCTCACTCCATGGATATTTTGGGTAGACTGGGAGCAAATTTATGGGCTCAATTTTTACATGAAGTCAGGCTGTTTTATTTAAAGTTACCAGTTTCCCTGACTTGGTACAGGAAAAAGAATGGATTGCTCTATTTCAGGTAAAATAAGAAACAAATCTAAAATAAAAAAAATAAAATAGCTCTGGAGAATTCTCTCACTGGATATAAAATTCTCTTACTAGTTTACAGGTATTCCAATAGAAAAAGGTATTTTTAGCAGTTTCAGTATTTTTATGACGATTACAGCACAAGATTTTCATGCAGTATTAAATTTATAAGAACACTGTGATTTCAAAAGCAATTTTTTCTCCATTTCCAAACAATGAGCCCGTGGTTAAATTCCAGTGCAGGGCTGTGACACCTCTGAGATGTGTCTGCAGCAGTGACCGTTCCTGAGCAATGCACAATGGCTCTGAGCTCTGATGAGAGAGGTGTTCCTCACCCACCAAATGCCCAAATTGGTGTTTCCTGAAGCTTGAGGATGGCCTAAATGAACATTCTAAATCCATTGCCAGATTCCCATGATATGTTACAAGTCTGTCTCAGAACCTGTTTCAAGAATAGCTGTGATTATGGATATGTCTTACAGAAAATGCATGTAAAAGGTACAAACCCAGTGAGCTGTTTCTAGACAATGGGATTGGCTGGTTTGCCATTCAGATTGCTTTGTCCTGCTGGAAGTGCCCCTATTCCCACAGCTGGCTCATGCATTCCCAACACTTTTTGGAATCATAACAATCCATATCAATAGTTTAAAACTTTCTTTAAAAGCTGGCAATGTGTTGGATCAGAGGCCTTAGGAGTCTGCAGTATGGAAATGGCTGCAAGTTGAGGCAGCCTTAAGAAGAAGCTTTCTTCAAACCTGCATGAGGTTCTCCATACAGATGACTCCTGCGCTGGTGCAGGTCCACTACATGCTGGGATGGAAAGGCATCCCTGGGTTCTGCCTGCTGCCTAAATCCAGCATCCCTCGAAGTGTCCAAGGCCAGGGTGGATGGGGCTTGGGGCAACCAAGGTGTCCCTGCCCAGGGAAGGGGGTGGGAGGAGATGATCTTTAACATGGTTCCATCTCCTCCCTTAACAACTCAGACTAGGACCCAATGATCTATGAAATCAAATGGAAACCTGCTTTTAATTGTCTCAGGCTTTGCACCAGCCCTTTGAAAGGGGCTGGTTCTGGAGGACACTCACCATACCACTCATCCACCCAAGCAAACGCCTGCCGGTGACCGATCAGGAGGATATCTCTGACCACCTGCAAACAAGGAAAGGGTTAAAGGCCTCAGCAGCAACATAACATCTCATCTGTGTCTTTCAACATGATTCAAAGTGAGAAACCCTCTGACAGTTTTGTGTCTAAAGAGCCATGCTGGCTGTAAAGGCTCCTAGTCCAGCTTCCCACTGCAAGTGGGTCTGTTGCCAACACTGAATCATGGCTTTGACTAGCATGGGAATCCATTTGGGAATGTGACATATCTGGAAATACAGATTCCACTAATCTTTGGCCAGTTAGACATTCTGGATCTCTTCTTTTCCCTTCTGTTTTTCAAACATGTAGAAGGTCAATACTATGAAAAATTGCATCACATTGTAGTTATGCTATTTATCAATTGATTTTTTCATAGATTGACTGGAAAACTTTCCCACTATCTCTTCCTAAAGAATTCTTCACCTCACATGCTATGTGTATGGGACCCCTGTATACTCAGAAATACTTCAGCTCATATATTGGTCACAGCACTGAAAATGTTGTTGATAGTTTTTCTCAGCCTTAGGCCTGAGCAGCTCCAGGCTTTGTCACGTTTGTACCCAGAGTGAAGCCCTGGGCTCTGCTCCAGCTCCTTCAGACCTTGTGAGAGGCCTGAGCAGACTGGGCCAAGCTCCCAGGCTTCTCCACAGCCGTAGCCACATTCCTGGGAGTGCTTGAGTTCTGCTTATGTGAAGGATAAGAAACAGCTCCTGTTTCACTGACCTTGTGTACAAATTGCTCTACTCTGGTTTGAAGTCCCCAGACTTCAAATTTCACAGTCACAAGTTTGTAGGAACACATAATTGGCTGATGGGTCTCTCTCCAGCCTTCTTTCAATTGGCCTCTCCCAGTTTTCTGTGACTTGAAGTATTTGGGATCCTGCAAAACAAAGAAAACATACAGGAAAATTCAGGAGGGGAAGTTGTGTTTGTCAGTTTGCTGAAGTAAAAGTTTTGATAAGACACAAAACATGCTAATAAACATTATGAAAAAGTAATAGAAATTGACTTTAAAAATACACTAGGATATCCTAAAATCCAAGCCTGGCAGTGAATCAATGGCAGCATATTCTTGGAGATGCATTGACAATCATATCATCCAGGACATTTTCTGCTATAAGAAGATCTGTTATTGCAAGTCATTACAGCACAGTGCATTCCAAGGGTTATTTATGGCCTTTGGGAAAAAAAAAAGTGGCTTCTTCAGAGCCTGTTTTTCCACTGCCCCTTGGTGTGAACTGCTTGTACTTTCCACCCGTGCCTGTCTCCTGAAATCGTGTCCAGTTGGAGCTTTGACACTTCAACACTGACCCTGACAATGCCATTTTCAGTTTTAAGTGAACTTGTTCATCCTAAGCTAAGTAGGAAACTCCTGCAGTTCATCCATCTCTGGTTATAACTGAGTTATGAGCAAACATTGAGCAATCCCAATTCTGCTTCTCTTTCAGGAACTGGGAAATCAAAGGAACTACAACATTGAAATTACAATATAATTTCATAAAACCATTAAAGGCATTAGTTAATTTTTGTAAAGTTTACTTTCATCTGTACAAGATACAGTTTTGTCTATGAAAGTGCTATTTTCCATATTGGTATAATTCTATTTCCCTTTATGTCCAATCCTGCTAATTATATCTTGTAAATAGAAATAATTTATGGTTAAGCACTGATTGTCAGAACTTGAAAATTATGTCATTTCAGAAAATTCATAGTGAAGCCTCTAAAATCTGTCCTGAAGAGTAACCAGCAGTGCTCAGCTGTGTTCTTTCCCCAGTGCTGAGGTCTGGGAAGATCCTTTGTTAAAAAAGCAGTTAAACGTGTACTTAAATAGTGCTTAAATTATGCATTAAATGAATGACAATCAGGAGAAAAAAACACAAAAAATGGTAACTAGTCTGATCTTCATTTGCTTCATTCAGTGTGAGTTTATGTATCACCAGCATTCATTTTTCCTACTGTTTAGTTATGTCTTGACTTCTGGCTTTATCCTAAACTGAAGCTCTGCCATTAAAGCTTCTCTGCAAAGTTCTAATGAGATGATAGTCTTTCCTCCCTGTGAAAGTCACTGCTTTTATTGCTGACACAGGCTTTGCAAAGGGGAGACTTTGAGCTCACAGTATAATAAGGTTTCAATGTTAAATCACCATTAAAACAGTTCAGCGTCATCATTTATCAGAGCAACACCCCCCTGTACAGCACAGCTCATGGTCACAGGCTGCTGCCAATCTTCTCACCCAACAAAGCTCAAGCACAGATGGACCTACACATTTTCTGGTTGAAAGAGTTGTTTAATAATTGATCATTGCCTGAAGCAATCAATATAATGATAATACCAATAAAAAGAAAAAAAGGGAAGAATACACAGTATTCAGAAAGATGTAACATTCTAGTTGGATGTTCCTTAAAAAAAGAAATCATTGCAGGAAATATGATTTCAAATATGCCTGCAAAATATTCCAGTGTGAAATAAGAATCTCTAAAAAGGAAAATAATTTTCTGTAAGTCAGGGTCTGCTGTTTCTTACACAAACACACAGTGCTGGTGTGATGGAGCCACTGCCTTGATTCACCATCTCAGATACACACTTTAATAATTCTGAGTGTTGAACTTTACAATCCTTCAGAGATAACCATATCTATAATGGAGTAAGTTCAGTGCAGTCCAAAGAGATTTAATGTAAACAATTTGAGTCGTTATCAAGTATCAAGAAATTCTAACCAAAAATGAAATAATGAAAAACTGTCCTGCATCACTGCTTGGCTCAGTTTTATGGGTTGGGTCTGGTTTGGTTTGGTGAGTTTAACCCAGCAGACAAGGGGACACAGAGTGGTAATCATTCTGAACTTGGCAAATCACCCACCAACTGCAATGCATCTGATATATGACGACTCCCAGGTGCAAATTCCCTTAACAGCAGCCAGAAATGGCACCTGTGCATCCCTTAATCCTGTCCCTTTTTCTTGAAGGACATGAGGATTAATCACAAATTGGCTGCAGAGCTCCATGGGAAGAGCCAGCTGAGGATGGGTGGCTCGGGCAACTCACATCAAACAGCTCTTAGGGAAATTCCTGCCTCTCTGGAAACATTAACATATTGATACTATAAAACTACAGACTGATGAATGGAAGCCAGACCTCAGAGGAACAGATTTCCAGCCTGCTGTATGAAAGATCAAGGTGTTAAAGACTTTCCTGAGTGCTTGCTCAGGAAGCTGAGACTCAAAGAGTTGGCATGAGAGCCAAGTAGGGGGATGTAAGGCACACTGTGACATTGGGCAAAGTCAACTTGAGAATTCGATGTCTGGGCCAGCAACTCAAAGGGCACAAATGTTTGACAGAGGTGAACTGTTGTAAGGAAAACTAATATCCCTGGGATCTAACCCAGCTGCTAAAAAATTACACGTTTAACTACATCTTGACTTTTTTAGAAATACACAAATTCTGTCTCAGCAATTGTTTGTGCTATGGATCATACAAGGAAGCCTTTAGGGGAAGAATCTCTACATTCACCACTGTATTTTTACACCTTTCCCAGGCCTCTGCTATGGACCATAGCCATGCCAGAAGGACTTTGGTGGGACCAGGACTGCTCATCTTTTCCTCTTCAATGCCTGATCCAAAGCCCACTATAATTAATGAGAACTTGGACAAGAATGATTTTATGTGCCTAACTCATGGGTTCAAGTTGCCACAGTAAGACTTACAACCTGGAATTCTTTCTGCAGTTAGGCACATAAGGTCCTTCTATAACAAAAAATGAAGCAGGGCTGATAATTTTCCATTAAAAGCAAGTGGAAATTATACTGGTACCCAGCACTGCTTCTCTCAGCAGCACTCGAGGCACACATACCTGAAGCTTTTCTTCCTGTGACCAGAAACTGGGCAAGCTGAACTTTGCTCTATCCCCACTTTCATTTTACTATTTAGATAATTAATTTGGTGTGTTTCTTATTTTTACTTTCAGACACCCATGCCTTTCTTCCTAGAGAAGGCATCATCCAAAGAATACCGTGTCTATTCACTATTTTCCCCTTGATTTATCCACTGACAAAATCCTCAATCTGTTTTAAATGTAATGGCATAGCTAAAATCTTTTTGTTTAAATAACCTTCTTGTCCTTTTATCAGACACAATTTATTAGGAAAGCCCATCTGGCAAATCCTTCTGCTAGAGGAGCAAAACCTACTCTGTATTTGCAATACATTATTGCCAGGTGCAGAGTGATTTAAAAATAGCACTTCTGCCAACAGAGCAGAAACATCATAACCCGTGAGCTGGTCTTAGTTGAGAATAAAATGTAAAATTACAATGAAATAAAAGCCTCTGTATGTGGGATATGGATTCAAACATAGCACTCTCCCAGGGTTTATTACTTAGATCACGAGTCAATGTGGTTATTGATGGAGTCTATTATTTACCATTTAGCATTTATTTACTTAACTTTCCTCACGGACGTCACGGGCATTGGACACAGAATGGCAACGCCCTTTCCAGGAAGCAAACAGCACTGGGTTGTTGCAATGCCTCTTCAAAATTAATTCTGAGCTGTTACTTTGTACTCAGAGTTAAATAATGAAATGCATTTGTTTACAGAAAACCTCCAAATCTGCCTGGCACACTTGCCCTCAGCTCTGCCACAGTACCAGGCCTGATTGGAAGCTGCCACTGCACCCTGGAGCTGGCAGCACCTCCCTGTGTGTGCTGGGAGCCTGCATGGGACACCTTGGCAGCCCTGTCACCCTTCTGTCTCCCCTTGCTGCTTGTGTGGCCATTCCAGCATGGGCAAAGGTCCCCAGGCTGAAGCTGCTGCCAGAGGTGAAAGTGCACCCTGCTTGTGCCACGCATCCTGTTCTCTCCCTGGAAGTACCCAGATGTCCCTGAAACAGATCCTTCCTTCGTTTTCATGCCTGAATTAATTTTTTCAGACTCCTATGGCAGTATCATGGTGCTTTTGAAGTGCAATAATTTTTCCCTCTTTATGCTGAAGACCATTTTGTTTGATCTTGAATTTCAGAACCAATCATGAGTTTAATACCTGTCATCTGGCATATCAGCATCAGCTGTAGTTGCTAGGTTCTGGATTTCAGCTTATATAGCCAGGGCTTGGGAAAGATTTATTGATGTAAAGATGCTACCATAGACATTTATGTGGAGTAATTTTTTAAGGACTTTCAAAAGAATTTCCATTAAAGGGTATTTTCTGGAAGATCCAGGTGAATACTTAAGAACTGCAAATATTGGGACAGTTCTGAGGTGTTAAAATTTGATAATCCAGCCAGCCTTTCTGTAAACTCACACACCAAGTGAGTAAGAAAAAGGAAATGTTCGTACTTTTCATATCCTTCACTGAACTCCTGTGCTGACACAGTGCCCACACTCACTTGGGGGCTGAGGCAGCTGGATTATTTCAGCTACCATCATTTAGTGCTGTGACAGAGGTTTTCTTACTCAGAAAGCACTTGGACAGGCTTAAGGAGGACCTATCACACAGCAGCTGTGCTAAAGGAGAAAAGCCAGCAATGGAAGAAGAAAACTGCAGCAGCTGCATGGAATCTGCTTAAAAGCAGCCTGAAAAGTTCATTCCATTTGTCCAGCTCTCTGTTACTTTGTTATAAACAGGAAATGAAACATTGTCAATTCTGAGAACTTGAATATGTTTGCACTGAACATTTTGCACAGTAGCTCACAGCTACGGTAATGTTTCATTTCATGAATGATTCACTGGAGGCCCTCACTCCTCATCTTAGCTAAGCTTTGTTCTTTTCTATGTTTCAGACAAATATATCTGTCTATATAGCTGGTGATACATATTCATCGATGCTAAAGTCACAAGGAAATTACTTCACAAGATGTGCAAGTACTCTTACCTGGCTGGTACATTCTCTGCACAGAAATACAAAATTCTGTACTCAATGCAATATGTACATCCAGGTTTGGAAACACCTGTGGCTCCTTACAGACAAACAGGTAAACTTGTTAGCTGGGATCTAGAATCAACCTTTCTCCATTTGGAACCTCATGTTTAAAGTTATTAGAACATAAAGAATTAGACACACGCTTCTAAAAAAGTCTTGTATTTAAGATGTGGCTACTTCACAATGGAGTTTGTAGATGGTCATCAAGTTAAAGGGAGGTCACCTCCTTTGGGATACCTGAATTGCTGCAGTTTCACCTCCTCCAGCCTTCCACAAAGGCAGAAATCACATAGAACTGGACTCTGTGTTTGTAATAGCTCACAAAACTGTCTTCTGATTCTCTATTGCCTGGTGATTTCAATCCTCAATGCCTCAGATAAGCCCTTCATCCTCAAAGGAATCCAAATCACTTGGATGATTCTGTTCAAGCCATCCCTCAGTATTACTTGTAGAGGTTCCCTTAAAGTGTCCTGCAATGAAGCAACAGCTCTCCTTAAGCCTCCAGGTAACTGGATTCTTCACTTTTCAATTTTAGTTAATATTTAGAAGGAGAGAAAAGCAAATATGCACCAAGTTGAATTCAATCATTTTCCCTTCAGCCAGGACATTTTCGTGGAACACATTTCCTCTCTCAGCACCAGTGAGAATGAGCTGTTCAATTCAAATGGAATATTATACATACAAGGATTATTTATACATTTTGTCTTTTTATGTGTGAATCACTATTATGGAAATGAAAATGGAATCTGTTTTTAGGATTCATGTCAGGACAACCGAAAAACTACTTTTTAGATCATAGGTGGGAGGACACAGTGGCTTTGTCCTTCTACCATCAGGCTCAGAAGTTCCAGCACAGAGCATGCAGAGGAAGTAGCGTGTGAAGGCATTTAATTATTTAAACCACTCTCTGGTATGCATTATTACAGCTAAATAATGACATTTGCTGTTAAATCTGAAGTATATTTTTAATTGAAGAGGAATGTGCTTTAGTCAGGATATACAGAAAATTAAAGCTTATTTCTAGAAGCTGCTAAAGACGCTGACCCTGATAAAGAACTTACTTTATTTTAAGCCTGTGAAAGAGTCACTGAAATCAAGAGATTACTGACATGCCTGAAGTTAAAATTGTTCTCATTGGTCTTTTTGGATGGGAGTCAGAACATTTATCCTGTGGGATCTAATTGTTAAATCGTGAGGATTGCACTTCACTTTTAATCTTTAAACTTAGTATCAGTTCAGATTACATAATCTAAAAGCAGCCAAATTGTTGTTATTAGTGCAACTAAAATACCTTTCAAAAGCTTACACTAACTGGGTTTATCTGAAGCTGCTATTTGGAAAACACAAACCCTTTCTCATTTGCATAGAATTATTGTTCTGGTTGAAAACAGACGGAAATTACATTTATGAACATTAAAAATCTTTTTATAGTCTCTAAATTATGTAAGAGGCCACATCAGAAACGGAAATTTGGCTTCATGTTTGTCATGTGGTAACATAAAAACCCCATAGTTTGTAAATTTTGGAAGACCCAGTATTTTCAACTATTATTAATTCACTACCAATTATGGCATGTGCACAGTTGAATACTAAAGGTGTTCTTACTGCACTGTATGAATTCTGAAACAGAATTTGATAGTCAACAGAAAAATCATCCATCAGTACAGAAAAAAACAACAGATGCTGGGCTATTTTTGTTGTTTAAACCCATATAAAATTCCATTTTGCCTGGAATCAGGTCTTCAGATTTGTCTTTGAAATAGCAACACAAAGACCCTGAAATGCTTTTCTCCTTTAAGATGAGCCTGTTCTTCTGTACCAAGAGATTAATCATAGGGAAATTATGCTTAATAGTTGGCTAATAAAATGAGCAGGAAAGTTGCAAAACTGGTTTTCACCTTTGTGTTTACAATTTCTGAAGTGAAGAGATTGAGATGAAAAACCTCACAGGATTTCTTTAAAGAACAGTCAAATGCTGACCCATTCCATTAGCAGCTCATTCCTAAATGGAGCCAGAAGCCGTGGAGCTCAGATAAGATGATGGGACCAATAAGCTGTTTCATGAGGTGTTATATAATTTTTGGCACTAAACAGATGGGTTTCATTATCTAAGGAAAGTAATAAAATTACTTTTCATTCTACTGTAGGCTCAGTTTTGGTTTATGACCTGTACATAACATTCAAAATAGGATCTATATAAATGGAAGATAACAAGTACTCGACTTTTTTAGTCTGAAAATCATGTCTCCTATAGTATAGAAATATATTCCTTGGCAAGTCCTCACTTTCTATCCTAAAAATGATTATGTAGTCTCGTTTTAGATAGTTAAACAGCTGCCATACTCACTGCCAGCTATGAATATAGACTTGGCTCCAGAGGAAAATCATATCTCCAAAATTAAATGCGAGCATAGATCCGATCATTCCTCTCTAGCTGCTTGTTGTGAACCATCATTTATCAACTCTGAGATTAAAACATTGAGACCTCATCTTCATTTGCATGGTGGCTGCTGATTTCAAACAGTGAATTGCATTGACCTAGAAGAAGCACGCTCTTCAGAGATGTGCTCCATCAAATATACATGGGAGCAATTTCTGAGGGAATTTTCACAGTGACTCTGCCTGCTGCCATTGATGCTTTTTGGCAGATCTGCTGCAGTCTGCAGTGTGCTTCAGTCCCTCTTGGTCTTGTGTCATTGTTCCCTTCAAGCAATTGTGCACCAGCCCCTTGTCACTGCAGCACATCTGTCCTTTGCTGGGCTTCAGAACTTTGCAGGACTCACTGATCAGGGTGGGATTCAAGTAAGGACAGCAGGGGTGTTCAAAAGTGCTCAGATCTGCAAACTCTTCACTGAGATTCATGATGCAAAGGAAAGGCCTTTTTTAGTTTGGACTAATTCAGCTGAATACCAAAGGTCTGGTACAGGATGTGTTCTGATAAGGGTAGGAAAGCATTTCAAAGAATCATCTGCAAAAAAAAGTGTCAGGCAATCTAGACAGAGAGGCTGTTGTCTGCTTCTCCTCTGACCAAATGCTCTTGAAATATTACTGACCAGCAAGATTTTATACAAAAACAAAATGGTTCTGATTCCTATCCAGGCTCTTCTAAAGCCTCTTACCTTCCCTTCCTCACCTCATTTCACAGCCAAGTTGCCTCTTACCTCTGATTCCTTGTAATAGCGCTCGGGAATCTCATCGCTGGCAATATCAATAAAGCAGACTTCTCGCTCCAGATCTTTAGCTTCTTTGTCAAAAATCTGCAAGAGTTAAAGAAATTCAAGGCTGTTACAGAACAACACCCTCAAAAAATCCACCTGGAATAACCGTTACAAGCAGTTTAAATGCCTTGTAATGTAACAGAATGTATTTTAGGCTTGTGCCTGAACAGCTTTGTGTAAAATACTTGAGTTTTTGCAGGAACACTGTCACGTTCTCCACCCTACCATTCACATCGTGTTCAGCACTTCCTGCTCCCACTGCTGTTCTTCCTTGGATTTTTTTGGAATGGAGACTTTGATTACAAACAGTAAAGTCAACAATTTGGATTGGTTTTATTGTGCTCTCCAATCTTTGTACTAGAGTCTGTCACTGTGTAAAAAACCTGACTCTCTGGACTCAGGATATTTTCACCCTCTAAGGACTACAGCAGTGTGCACATGTTTGCTGGGAACAGTCAGTCTGACTTCTTGTTACACTGAGAATCAAAATTTTGGTTGAACTGCCTCAGTGGGAGCTGCAAACTTCTCCAATCCATCCATGCACACACATTGCAATCCTTTAGGACCACGTTTGGGACAGCAAGCCTCCTGTTCTATGCAAGGCGAATGATGGAGATATTTTGAAAATCCAGGTCATTTGCAGCTGCAGCGCAGTATCCTTCTGTGCCTGTGTCCATAATTTAATTATTTAGGCATCTCAGTGACCCATGTGACTTACACTGTGTCTGCAATACATTTCCCTCATGATTCTGAGAGCTGGAAACAGCACCAAGCTAAAAGGCTACCATGAATTAGTGCCATGAGATTCAGGGAACTTGTGCATCCACTGTCAGGATCAGTAATAAGCTCACAATGTGCTTTCTCCTTTGGGGCACAATGTTCTACAGCTGACATTTCCAGGAAGCAAAAATATATTTATTTTTTTAAAAAAATATATGCAGTGAATGCTCTCTTGATTTAATTAAATTCTAGAGGAACAGTTAAAAATACAAAATGCCAGCAACTCTTTAGTAACAGAAATGCTACTTCATTATTTCTGAAAGCATTGGGGCTTCCCATTTAAAGCATTCAAGAAGAGCAATGGACTCTGGTGAACACAGGAACCAGCTGGTAGGAAGAACATTGCTCAGGAAATCATCTTTCAAATACAGGAAAAGCTGAAGTTTTACTCTACAATTTTAACTTGTCTTAGTAGTGAATAAAACAGGCAGCACTGAACGCTCACTGAGCTGGATGTAACATGTTTGTGCATCCCAAACAGCAGAAGAACTGAGAAACTCCAACCTGGTTTTATTTCTATTATTATGCTTCTCCAATTGTTTTTATGCAAAAAAATATATTGATTATTTGAACAAATTGGAACTGGGAAGCCCTTCTCCTGTAGTGCTCCTTCTCTGCATTGGGTACATTGATGTAAATCACTTCTGTGTTTAGGTATAGAATACAGGTCGCCTTTTATGAGCTTCCTTGCTTGCTTTCTTCCTAAACAAATTCAGAAATATAGAGCAGCCCCTGATGAAATCAGTTGAACTATTTCCAGAACAAGATGTATTTCACCATAATCTCTCTAAAATAATGTAAATTGCACTTAAATGGACATTACTAGGTCAGCTGAAGCTTTGAATCTTTCCATGGTTTAGGTTCAAGCCCCATAAATTCAAGCACATGCAAATCTCTGCCCATTTGCAAGGACTTCAATGGAGGTTATTACCCAGTATCTTATCCAAAGAAATGTGCCCTGCTCTGTCCCAGGCTTGATCCACATATTTCACCTCATATGAAAATAGTTCTGAATTCCTTTTCTCTCTTTAACATTCTGTGATGGAAGTGGGGATGACAGATGCCTTTGCCAATCTGTCAAAACCAGGAGGAATTTTTCAACCATTTCAACGATGCCTTATTTGCTTCCGAGGCTGTCTCTGACCATTTCCTTTATTCCAGAAGTTTGCTGAATGACATTCTCACTTCCCTTTGCCAGCAGAACTTGTTGTCTAATCATTTATGCTTCTCCCTTTCTCAGATTGTCCTCACAAGATTTGCAGCTAGAGATTTAATCTTCTCATTCTATCAGCAGTCGAAAATAAGAAGTCATTAGAGAACAAGACTGATTTTAGCTCTAATTCTCTTGCCTCTCCTAGCCACAGAATCTTGGATTGCCTGAAAGCCTGTAGGGAGGATGGGTTTATTGTGGTTGGGATCAAAGGGACCAAAGAAACTTAAAAGTTTTAAAGGAAAAGATTAAAGGCCATAAAAAGAAGCATAAGGCTCCCAATCTGTGCAACTGTATTTGCAAATGTGCAGAAACTGATTGGTGAGAACAATCTGTATCCTTAAGAAGATGATGTAGAAAGACAGAATATTAAATATTATATTGGAAAGAACTGGACAGGCTTTACATTTGGAAGCCAAGAAATTAATTGAGATTAAAATATACAATCAAATGGAAAACATTCTGACTGAAGTGGCCTTTTTGCCATGGGTTTTGGTTTTATTTTGGGAGGAGTAACATGACAGCTTTTTTACAACAAACATTTATATACTTCCCCTTCCTAAGAGGAATGAAAACTCAGCATGATTTAGACTACATCACCCACAGAATGACAGAAAAGTGAGAGAAAGGTTTCAACTGGGTCAGTGGTTTCTTTTGGTGAAAACTAAAAAAACAAAAAACCAACCCAAAAGACCCAAAACCCCCCCAAAACAACAAACCAACCAAGTCAAAACCAACCAATCAGCCAACCAAAAGTACACAAAACACCTCCAGGCAGGTGATTCCAGAACCTCAGGAAAGACAGCTCATACAGGATACTGCAGAAATGGAAGTCCTGGTGAAATTTAAATTTCATTCCTTTGTTTCCCTTCTGCCCTACAAGGACATGTCCTGGCACATGTTTTGCTAGTGACTTCCCTTCTCCTGGCAGCCACAGTCAGAACAGAAAGTCAGGTTAGGCTATGATATAAAATTTAATATCCTCTTTTCTTCAAGCATTTTTTCCTATTTTTTTTTTCTTTTTTTTTTTTCTGTTTTCTGGCTAAGTTGCTGCTTCAATTTTAATCAGATGTAGTTAATTTAAAATGTAACTTTTATGGCCGATCTCCACAGCTAACCTGGACTGGCTATAAACAGCATAATGCCAGTTTCTGCTGAATGCATTGATTCCATCCACACTGGCAAACTCCTCACTCATCTGCACCTCCAGGACTCCAAGGGTCACATTTGTGCCTCTGGCTTGGCTTTGTTTCATAATACATGATTCTCTCTTGTGATGTTTGTTTTCCATCTTCAAGAGCAAAGGAACCATCCAAGGGATTTTCAGTTGGAAAGGTGTTTGGCTCTGTCATTACTACAAAATGCCTTTTTTCCCAGCCTAAACACGAGGAGTTTGTGGTCAGAAGGCTGTAAAGAGACAGCTAATTCATGGCAGGGCTGTAATTGTGGTAAGGACTGCAAGAACAGTAATTCCTTCCATTATAAAAATGCACAAAATATACTCTCCACCTTGAAATTCTCATCTCCGCAGATTGCCACGGCCAGAGCCACTGGCTGCTTCCCAGGGTGTTGCTGCAGACCTTGAGAAGGTTCTGTCACCTGCCCCACTGGAGCTCTCATTTTCCTGAAGGAAAACTCCGACTCAGAACTCAACCCATGGAGTTTGTTCAGTGTGTAACATCTCAGTAAATCGTGCTCCAACCTCAGCTACTTCCGAATTCCCTAATTTCCTTTTGAGATTTATTTGGGCAGAGATTACAGGAATTGATCAATTTCAAACCTGTTCATGGGATAAAACTATTTATGTGTACACACATAATTGGGAGCAATTTTTCTATGGGAAAAGATTGAATCTCTCTTTGAGAAGAGAAAATTTGGATCCCTGAACTAGCTGGGAATATCCCTGTATGCCACATATTTATCTGCAGCCTTGCTCCCTGCTCCATTTGATCTCCATGTCACAACTTCCCTATTATTCCATCTCTTATAAAATATCTCATTAAGATTTGTACTTTCTTGGACAGAGAACTGGATTTTTATGTAATTATGTCAAAGTAACTGCGCTTCCAAGACCACAATAGACTATCTATAATATTTACTGGGATTAGTTTTTTTAAATCACATCTAGTTCAAGTGCCAGATTTACTGACTAACTTCAGTAGTTCATTTAGAAAAATCAAAAAGTAGAGGCACAACCATATCACTTGTTCACACTCTGTCAGTGTGGGCCTTGTCATATGTTCAGCGATAGCCATATGTGCTTGGGACATACGATCTGCAGTTCAACAAAGAGAGCTCTTCCCTCAGGAGGAATTTCAGACTAACCTTTCCACTTGTTTGCCTTTACCTTTTCAGACTTACTAGAGGGGGGAAGAGCATCACAAAATCATGATTTTTTCATTGCAAATTATGGGATACTCGGTGCCATTGTACAGGAAAAGTCCAGGTGCAAATAAAATCATCCTAAAAGTGTCCCTTGATTTGACTTTGCCATATTTTGAGTGATGCCCAGCAATCCTTTTGACAGTTTCCAGAATGAGATCCTGTGGTGCAGTGAGGCTAAACCAGGGCACAGCTGAATCCTTTTTCAGCTGAAATCAGTGTTTCATGGCAGTTGCCTTAAATAGTGAATTTACATTTAATTTCCATGTGCTATATTCAAGTTTGTTACAACCTAGTTCCACATTACTAAGATAGGAGACAAAAATAGAGAAAAAAACACCCTAAAGTCAACCATACTAGAAATGAATTTTCTTGTTAGCTGTCATACCTAAAATTTATTTTACTTTAGTTTCATAATCAAGATCCAGCCACTGAGTTTTCCAGAGAAAAATGTTATGCTACAAAGAGCAAGGCACTGGAAGTTTTACATACAGTGAATTTTCATTATTGACAACCTTTGAATTATTTGACAAGCTGTACTTTCTTTGCTTTCCCCAGACACCATCAGATGGCAAAAAAAAAAAATCACTGCCCAAATATCAGCAGCAATTAATTCTGTGACTAAAAACCAAAACAAAACAAATCAACAGAAATCAGTCAAACATAATGATCCTTGTGCAACAAATAGGAAAACTGAACATCTCTATGGTTCAGTGATTTGCTTGAGCAGTGTCTGTCCCCACTCTGCCTTTCCTGTGCTTTCAGCTGCTTTGCAGACATTTTCCTGAGTACTGGAGTGTGACACGCAGGGACAGCGCTGCCATGTGTGACATGGCTGGGCATTGATTACAGCAGCCACTCAGCCATATGGTGGGTCCCTGGAATCAACACAGCTGATTGTAACACACAGTTGGTGCATTCCCCACTAAAAGGAAAAAATCCCAAAATGTGTGTCTGTAGTGCACACTGAAATAGTAAGAAAAATTGATGGGAGAGAAGTGAGAGATGACAGTTTGACTGAATTAGTCATTTGTGACATAAATACTGACCAGTCAATGGACTGTTGAAAGAAAATACCTGTCCAAATAAAAAAGAGTCTTCTAATGGAAAGCACACACACAATTTATTGGCACAAAATGAGTAAATGTCACCCTCCTGCCTGGATTTCTACCATTTCATTCAGTAGATACCTGTAAGAAATGTCTCAGATGTCCCTTATGTTTTTAATATTCAGAATACAGACTTTATCTATCCATACTCAAATTCCCAAAGTGCTGATTTTTCTTTGGGAGAAGGGTGTGATTACTGTGTCCTTTTACACTGGTCTGTTCCCACTGAAGCTGTTTGCTGTAGGCACCAGCACTGCCCCCTGCCCAGCATTCCCAATGCCACCCAGAGCAATGGAAGCAGCTCAGGATACAAAGGGAAGCAATATTTTCATGACTCCTGTGTCATTAACATCTCACAGATCATTACAATTTTTTAAAATTCCATTTTGTAATTCAAAATAAAAGTAAAATTTCTCTTTAAGAAGCTGACCTTTAATTTAAAAGATCTGCAAGAGGAAACACTGACTGGCCTGACTCACTGGTCCAGTTTCTGACAGTGTTAATGAAGCTGTAAAGCTGCAAGGTAGCAGGGACAATATTTGATGTACTCACATGTTCATCCAACACTGGCTCTGTTTTTCTAAGAATAGAGTTGCCATGGAACATCTACATGGGATACATCAAAATCAGCTGCTCTGAGCACTGAAATCACAGCTCAGTGGATTTATGGCTCTGCACTACTACACAAGGTTAAATAAAGACATTTATTGTCCATTGTTCTTTCTGTCAGTGTTTATATTTGTGCAAATCAACTGCAAACTTTAACAGATTGGAACAAGAATGCTTTAGCACATTTAAAATATCTTAAAATTATAATGAAGTCTGAGACATAGGAAAATCAGGTTCCAGAGAACCTACTATATTTCACTAGTATCACCACTATCTTCTATCATGCCAAATGGGAAGAAAAATCAGTACGAAGTTTTCATCAAGATATATTGCAATAATTAGGTAGAATTATACCAGACAACACAACATGTTAAATAAAATAATTCTAGTAACAACCTAGCCTATCAAATGACAGGAACCTAAGACAATTTATATTGCTTTCTTCCATGGATCAGTGGAATTAGTTTTAGTATCCTTATATCTAAGCATTGTTTTTCACAATCAATATCTACTTTATCAGACAGTATGGAAATGAAGAATAGATCAGAGTGCAAAGATTTCAAAAAACCTGTATGATCTAAAAAAATACATTGAGAAATAGCTGAGTTAAAATCAGATTTGTATTATTGCTTTCATTACTGGAACATTAATATTCATTCAGTCTATTTTGCATTACAACTGCAAAATTTACAGAAGTATTTTTTGATTAATTATTTCTTCATCAGACAAGGCTGATAGTTGCAATGAAGGAAAATAGAGTGTATCTATGGAAATCCATAGGAATGGGTGCTATGCTTCCTGTTGTTTTCTACCCAGACGAACAATGACATTTAATCTAAACTCATCTGACACAAAGAAGAAATGCATTTTGCAAGTTTTTAAGTGAAGTTTAAGCCTGCCCATTGAGTAATGGCAATGAGGTTGACTCCTACTCCTAGTTCCAAAGTGTTTGGATTAACAGAAGCCTCTCCATATTTAGGAACCTTCCAGCATTTCAGTGCTGTACCAGTCATGTCTGTGGTCCCAGATAAAGGTCAGGGGAGTATAAAAATGTAGATCTTCCATTGGTTTATTGTGTTCACACCAGGGAACAGCACAGCTCTCAGAATTACAAAATCAGGGGAATTAGGGCTGGAGTGCAACCCTCTAATTCAGCTGCTCTTTCTTCTCCTCAGTTCAAGTAGGGGTCAGTGAAATCTCTTAATCTAGGCAAACACTGGCTTAGTGTGTGACTCAGGTGCTGCACTAGAAAGGTAATATGATATTACCCTGCTGGCACTCTGGTAAAAATGACATTGGAAGAGCTGGATTCAAGCAGAATAGAGTTTCTTTGATTTACATCACTGGAATATCCCACCTCTGTGCCACTTTCATCTGAATTCCCTGGCTGGATACTGTTCAGGGCTTGATTCACAGTATTTTAGCCACAAGCTGACACACTGAAAGAATTCACTATGCTTAAATAGCTTCAGTTCTTCCTCTGTCAGACAGCAGCCCAGATCATGTCTGCTCACTGCTGACATTATAATGCAGCAGAAAATTAGTCTGCACCCTCCCCAAACCAAAGGTGTGGGCTTGCTCTGCATTAAAGTGCTGCCAAAAAGCAGAAGTGAACATTAAAAAGTGCATAAATTACACAATGTTCATCTAGCTGGTAATGCAACACGCTTCTTTTTAATTCACTCACTGATCTGGCTTAGAGTAGCAGCAGCTATGAGTGGTTGGTATCTGGTGGTTAATAGATGATCCCTGTCATGTTCCCAGTGGGAAAGTGTCTGCATGCCAAAAGCATTATTCCAAATTCCACCTTGTTCTTGTACATGTAATTATTCTGCCATAAGCAGTGCAACAGCTGTCAGCCTCATGAACAGGCAGCCCCAGGGGACTGAAGGAAATGTACCTCCCACCTGGAGAACAGAACACCTTCCTCTTACCAAGGCTGCTGGAAGGACACCCCAAAACACTGGAAGGCTGTGCTCAGACCCCTTAAAATCTGTTTGACTGCCCTTTTTCCTTCTCAAGAATGAGGTCAAACACCCCATCATTGGGTTTCTCTATTTTACAGATCAAATTTCCAGACATTTAAACTTTATTTCATGCCTATAAGGAACTTCTTCCCATAGTCTGCAGCCAATGCATACCAAAATGAAACAGGGAGAAACATATTTGTGTATGAACCCAAGGGCTCAATCTTTACATGCTGGGCTTTATTGAAAGTTATTCTCTTTTTTTGCAAGGTGAATGACTCTGCTTTGCTCTCTGCACAACAAAGTCTGACTAACCTGCTAAGTCTGCTCCTGAGCCTCTCTGACCAGCAGCTGCTGGTTAGTCACTCCCACCCTTCCTCTAAAGAGGATTTTACATAGTTAATTGTCCTTCTTGTCTCTAAGCTCTAACTCTGAAAATTTTTAACTTCAGGTAAGTGATTGCCAAAAGCATCACCTAAGTACACAGCCATTGTTTCCCCAAGCTGCTTACTGAGATCTCTCATCTCTGACCATTGTTTAGTTTCCTGTTTGTTCTTCCTGACACCTCCTTGGAATTCAACTCCCTTTGTTCAGAGATAATAATGTGAAACACAGAAAGGAGAATACAAGCTCACCAAAAAAAACCCAGTCATCTTTACTTTTCTTAAATGTTAATCACGACTAAATTCATATATGTAAATTATGTCGTGTTTAGAGAAGAACAGAACAGAACAGAAGAGGCAGAAAGGAAGGTGTGTACACAGATCTTTTGTCTCCTGGTACTTCAGAGGTAACTCCTCTGCAGCCGCTCAGGACCAGGACATTCAGAGAGGGTCAAAGGCACAAGTTTGATGGGGCCTTTTTCCCAAACTGAGAGACCTCCAGGCCCCAGACACAGACTGTGGTTAACAAAGAGGATTAAATAAACTTTTGCAAAAGGTGCCATACTTACACTGTCATTGCTTCCTTTGTTGTCCTCATATTTTGTCTCTATATGAATGGAGAATTTAGGCAAAAACGAACACTGCAACAAAAGAAAAGTATGTTTAATACAAGAAATATTCCTTGCTTCATCAACTGACATATTCAGTACATCCCTTTTGGTATCCCCTTTCCTATTTTTTTCAGATTACTTCAAGAAAAAGAATAAATGTTCACAGAACGTAAACCTGAAAGGTTTGATGCATCTGGAGGGATCCAGAGATTCTATCTAAAAGCTGGAAATTATAATGAAGATATAAATAAATCAGTATAAAGAGTCTGGAATAATTAGATGCAATGGTTTTCATGCTCACTATGCCCAGGAGTATGAATGTCCTGAATGTCTTGTTAGAAATTCAGCTCACTAAGATCTTGAGAGCAACTCAATACCCCTCATCATAGACCAGTCTATCCCTCATATAGAAAAACCAAAAGACACTTCACCAGATGCAGGTCCTGACCAAACAGAGAGAAATGCTTTCATATGTGAGGGCTTTTTCTTAATTTTCAGTGAGAAATGAATTTTAGCATAATTTCCTATTAATGAAATAGGAAGATGGATTATGAGCTCCTGTGAAAATTCCTTTATACTAAATCCGAATAAATCTTTAGATAATAACGCAAAAAAAAAAAAATACACTGATGTTTTTCTTCTAAAGATTAATATTCTGTATTTACATGGGAAAATAAATTTATTTTCTGAGGATTGCTTAGCTTAGTTGGCTTATGAAGACTAGAATTTGTAATAGTAGGCAACATAATCCCATCATAATAAATATTTCAAATATATTCTATTTATCATTTCACAGTTCTTCTTTCAAAGCAAGTTTTCAGATAGGCAGATATAGCAGCTGTCTAACCAGCTCTAAATGACACTAGTTCAGCATCTTTCCTGTTAGTCACCAAGGCTTTCCTTGCATTAACTGCCAGTTCCTTGTGTGATGCATCACTAATCCCCTATGGCAAATGACTCTTTCATGGGCTGTACATACAGGTTATACAATGAGGATGTTTGGATGCCTCAGTGTTCACACTGCTGCTGGTCCAAGTTCAGGCTTGAAAACGTTCAGAGAGTTCTTCTGAGGGTGATGTAAGGGAAGAGGGCATTTAGGAGGTCAGGAGTAGTACAACAACTGAAATGAGAAGCAGCTCCTTGGAGACTGCAGCAAATACATCCCTCCTTCAGTGGGTATCACCCAACAAGTCACTGTTTTGTCTTCTGACCACAGGATATCCACTACCAATAAGCACACCTAGAATCAATTCTTGTTGATAAAACAAGTGAGACAGATTCCTCAAAATAAGGTTCTGGTGCCATGGAAGGCAAAACCCCCTTTGTGCTATTGATCTGAAGCACATCTGCAGTTTCAGAGGGAATTATGAATAAAGCCAAATGCCAGATTTCCCTTCTACCTTGGTATTAAAGAAGTGCCTGCTATTTTCAATCACTGTCCAGAGGTTGCCAGCAGTCAGTCAGGTCATGACACCGAAATGTGTCACTCAGCAAGCCACTGTTTGAGTCTACTTGTTGATTCCTGTGACCCAGAATCTAAACTCTAATTAAAACAAGAGATCTTCTAACCTTGTATTTCAAATAGAAGTATTAAGGTAAGACCAAGGATCCTTAGAATAGCTTAGAAGAATGGTGCCATTTACCTCAAGCCACCTCATCAGAGAGCCACTTTCTCTAAAGCCACCCACAGGCAGCCTCTCTCTGTGTTTATTATGAAGGAGAGAACAGTAACAACCTAATTTGAGATTATAAATGGTAACATGGGTTACCCCAAATGAAAATTCAAATTCACCAGAAAGTCCTCCACCGCAAAAATCTCTCTCAGAAACTCAACTGGCTGGCAACCACTGCTCCAGCAGCTGTGGGGGGTCTCACTGCCTTACAGGAACACTTAGCAGGGTCCAAATTTTTGAACATTTCACAGAATGTGTCTCATGATTCATCAGCTGCACTCTGACTAACTGGCAGAGAGCTCTGGCAGAACCAGAAAACTGTTTATGCATCATTCAAAAGACTATTATTCATCGTGTAAAAAGTTAGGATTTTTCCCCTCAAGTGGCCACATATTTACTTAACTGGGGATTAAAACTGTTATGCAACAGTCAGAATCAAACTGGGGAGTGAATAGTAGGTAATAAACCTTTCAGGAGATTCTTATTTTCTTCTGAGCACCACTCCCTTTCTGCTCTGCCTCCTCTGGGGCCCGTGTTCTTCCAGTGCTGACCTGGAGGTGATCGATCCCCAGCACACACAGGAATGCACAGGGCACTGTTTCTAGTTCTCTGTTTCACCACCTCTACAGCTTGCAGGGTTCCTCTTGGGAATGAAATAGTGGCAAATTCAATCTTTAACTTGAAATTAAACTTAAATTCTACAGAATAATTCAAAATCTTCAGTCACAGTGTCTTCAATGATAAGGTGTTTTTGTGTAAAGCTCTCAAAGGAGGCATCTTAGGTATTGTCATCTCTGGATTTTTTAGATGTCTTATAAAACTCTTTTAAAAACTGTTATAACCCAGCACACCTGTGACACTCAAAAATAAGTAAGGAGAATATTCAGGGATTTTTTTTCTCTTTTTCCTAAACTTTCTATATTTGGCACCCCAATTTTGGAAGAACCAGGAGAGGTTTAAGGCTCAAGAGAGTACCCAGTGCAATAGCAGGAGTGTACCAGTAATTACCAGCTGTGAGCAGGGGCATTTCCACGTTCGAATGAAGGGAATGAAAGCAGCATATGGAAAGCACAGCCTGCAGTTGCGTTTGCAATTCCCTACATATAACCTCTTGAAAAACTAAAGGCCTATTTTTAGCATGATGATTGATTAGCGTTGCCATAGCAATAAGCAACACTTACAAGAACAGGGTAGAACCGAAGTGTGCCAAAACACTTGCCAAAGTCTTAAAGAGACAGTCAAACACACAAGGGTGTGTGACAGTCATTTAATGGAGAGGGCTGTCAAATTAACCTTTGTGTAGTAATTATGCCTGAGGTGGCTGTGGGAATTACTGGAGTTGTCAGTAAATATATTGGTCTGAGAGGTTTCTTCACCCTCTGGAACCTGCTCTGTGCCAGCGATGCCAGTTCATCAATACTGTTGCAGCTGGTTTTATCTTCCATGTGGTTCCTGCCTGCAGAATGTTCAAAGACCTGCTGGAGACCTCATCCTTGCTCTTCACCTCTCCTGCTCCTTGTGAATATTAATCCACAATCCTTGGCAGTTATTTCTGTACAGTAAAAATTAATCCCACTTTTTTTTTTTTTAAGCAGCAGAAGCATATTTCCCTAAATCTTAACATAAACCCCCAGCAAGCCAGACATTTCATGTAAATGTTCTCTCTCATCTTCCACCACTTCTCAGACTGCTCATTTTTTTAATATGGTCACATATGCATTATTTTGACAACATAGGTGGAACTGGATTCTTTACAGAGCAATCTCCATGGACCATAAAGAACACAGTGACTGCTGCTATGAGGTGAGTGTTCAAGCAAATGATATCTTTTCTATAGGGTAACTTTCATATATCACATCCCTTAAATTCAAAATTTTTGGGCACTATTTTTGTACTCAGGGGATAACAACAGCATTTCTTTATTGAAGATCAAGAACCTGGGAAAGAGAAATGGAGTCCCAACTTTGCTGTAAGCGACAAAGGGGATGTGGGACTGTGGTGTGATGGAAGGTGGAATATTCAATGTTTTTTGGAAAATGGACAATGGGGAGTTACTGGCTCCCCTCAGATTGCTCCAGACAGCTGTGCATGTGAGCCCCCAGAGCTGCTGTGTGATCAGGTCACCCAGGCACAAACCAGCATCAATCAGGGTGACAAGGCTGGAAGAGAATAGACGGAAAGGGCTGGGCAGGGCGATGGCATTTGGAAGATGTGACTCAGCAAGAGGGAGGAGAATATGGAAAGCAAGATAAGCACAGGAAGGTGGCAAACAGCAAACAAAAGTACTGTTGAGTGGAAAGGGAAAGAACAATGCAAAAAACAGGGCTTTAAAATAAACATGGGAGCAAAACTCTCATAAACAAGCTGTGAAAGAAAACCACTGTTTGTATTGTATACAATAACCTGGAGATGGAACGATGACTAACAAGTTGCCTCCAACTGCTATAAAACTCTTATCTCCGGCTTTGCCTTCCCTTAGGATCTCTTTCTTTGATACATGGGAACAGTAACCTGCTTATTGAAGAAGAAAGGAAGTGAAAAGCAGCGTGCACAAGTGGAAATGACAGTCCCATCCATCAGAGAGGGGGCTGGATTGCCTTGGAATAAGCCAGTGCTGGAAAAGGGGAATTCACCCAAGCAGTTTGAGTTACTTGTTTCAATGGGACTAAGCTATTAAATGAGAATATAGGTTTGCAGCTCTCTAAAAAATGTATTATTTTTTTTTAATAAATGCTACAGAGGTCCTTCCTTTTGCTAGAACCTCTAAGGGAAATAAACCTGTGTTTTCCCAGGACAAAGGCACCAGTGAGACTGTTTTCTGAGTTATGGGGGTAAGATGGGAGGATGCTGGTAGTAACTTTGCATTAGGCTCTAATCCTGCAGTACAGATTCTGCTGCATTTTTGATGCAGACTCTTCAAATCCTCAAACTGCAGAAAAGTTTCAGCACTGAAGAGTGAGGGGTTAGATCCAAATTTCAAGGGCTGGTAGTCAGATAAAGAGAACACAGGAAAGAACTCTACAGCAATGTTTATCTGAAACAACCGTTTTCCTTGTCAAGTCATCTCATTATAAAAATAACAATATAAAAACATTCCTTCCAGATAATTTACTTCATGGATAAACCAGCAGCTAAGTGAAGCACAAACCATGCCTGTTCTCAAAAATAATCAGAAACCAGCAGGTCAGTAATGGACCATTTAGCAACTTTTACTCTAGGGCCTTGACACATACCAGATGACATAATTTTATTTTGTATTATAATCAGTCATTTGCTGTAGATGAATAAATGTCATTGTGATAAATCACCAAAGGAATTGTTGTCTCTTGCTTTCTGTTCCATAGCTGTTTTTCATAAATATTCTGGATTTATATTCTAGTCATAAGTTAATTTGGGACACTGGAATGTTGAAGGAATGCTTCTTCTCCTTGTACAGAGCAAACAATGCCATTTTATTGCTTGTTTTGTCTATATAATTGTGAAACTAACAATTGTCCATAAATTATACACAAAAGAATTATCCAGCTGTTTTAAAATTTCAGCCCCAGAACTGAAATTGCTAACAACACCAAAGCCATTCAGGTCAGGTGGCAAATCTATCTGAACTGATCCCTGGTAAACACTTGAACTGCACCTTCAAACCCAGAGGAGTTTGCTTAAATTATCTTTGTAATTTTCCTAACCATTTTCTACTCCAGCTTGAGAGCTAAACTTTGGCTCATTTTCAGTGTACTTCGATCACATGAAGATTTTGTACCATGGTTTAGTCACCAAACATTCATGATCTGATTATTTGTTTGCTTGAGGCTCCTCTTTTGTTTTCCAGACTCTCCACTATTACTTGAGCAGGTTGAATTGATATTTGCTTTGTGCTGTTTATTTTCTAACAATATCCCAATGCAGGTAAAGAAACATAGTTCTATGCAATTCTTCTTCGTTTGGTTTGCAATAGTTTGCTTTCTAGTTAATTATTTCTAATCTTGCTGGGCGAGCTCAGAAATAAAAATAACAAAGCCTCCTGAAAATTCAGTTGTTCTTGCCACTGTGAACAGCATAAATATTTTCCACTAAAGATACATATTTGCAAAGGCTGCGATAAGCTGGCACACAAGGGGTTGTTGAGAGCTGCAAGGCATCTTGTCTCCATCCTCCAAGAGAAAAAGGTCCCTAACCAGCAAGGGAATTCCTTCCAAAGCCAGCAGCCACAGCAGCCATTACCCAGGAGCGGCTGTAGCTGGGCAGGAGGCACCTGACCATACCCAAGCCCTGGAATTGCTTATGGAGTGGAATCCACTGGAGTTACTCCTATAGGGCTCCCCTTCTGCTGCATCCTAAGTATGGTATCCCAGGTCAATTATCTTAATATCAACCTAATCACAATATAAATGGATTTGTAGATAAAACCTAAATGTGTATTTTAGCAAGATATCTTGTCAGGTTTCTAATGACAAGATCAAAACCAAAGCAGCTCCAGTGTCTAACTTGAAGATGCCTTCTCACATTCAGTTCTGAAGTAACACCCCAACCACTAAAACTTTGAACTTTACAGGAATATTTTATTCCCTAAATAGAATCCTGAAATCTGGATGACTTCCTTTGGCTTCAGCTTTGACAGTATTTTTTGACTTCCTCCTCCCTCTCAATGTCAGCAGGAAGCTTTCAAGGATTAGCTCCAGCTCTGATACAGCACTTCTTGGGACAGTCCCCATGTGTCATCTTCCAGAGAGAGGAAATCTTTTGCATGGCAGCTTTAACGAGGTGCATTTGCAAATGCTCTCCTGATATGACCCTACAGCACAAATTACACCCCACAAAAGCATCACTTGTGCAATAGTTCTGTTAAACTCATTATCTCAAGCATGTCAGTTGTTTTACATGCTGTTAACATGGTTGTCAATAATACCCTGTAGCAGATGTGGTGTTTGCTGTCAAATTTAGGGGGTTGCTGTGCAACAAATACCATTGCTTAAAGCAGATGCCATCATAACTGGATCCAGATTACAGAGGACTAACATCACGACAGTGTAATTTCCATTGCTGTTTTCATGCATCCAATTGCTCTTGGCTTTTTATACAACCATGGCACAGAACAATGTTCTGAAAATTATTTTTCAAAGCCTGATAAGCATTTTTTCTTGGGAGTCCTAATTTCAAGTCTTTAAGAAGGTTGTATTTATGAATTCCATAATATTCACAGGAGAACCAGACTGATGAAATTATTCCATACTGCATTTCTGAATGCCAGAGTATGGGCTAGAATGCAATTTCTCAACAGCCCTCACATTTTACAACTGAAAAACCTTAAGACTGTCAGTAAGGTTCACTCTGCTGTTCACATCCTCTTCCAAGTCACTAACACAAACTGAAATAACATGCTGAGCCTTTAAGGTCCTTCTCTTTATTTAGAGTGGAGCTTACAAGGTTAATAAGGTGTGAACATACCACAGAGCAGTACAACTTGATAAGATTATACTTTATTTATCCAATTATTGGTCTGCCTTCAGAATGGGTTTTCCTTGAAATGAGGCTCAATTTGACTCTCACCAGGTCCCACAGACCCTTCAGAGAGAATTTATGATCTTTAAGAGAAGGGTTTCCAAGCTATCTTACATATTTTGGGCCATGTCTGTGGGCTTATTCTTTCTTTCAGAATTCTCTAATGAATACAGAAGATGAAACTTAGAGAAATATTCCAGGCAAGGATAGCAATTATTCCCAGTGGGATGTTTAACATTTTTGTTCTAGATTCAACAGTTTGAGGCAAAGGCTCCGTCTCTGTTTTCCATGAAGATAAATTCACAGCCCATCAGCTCCATTAATACATATTTTAGATTTTTGTCTGAAGTACAGTTTCCCTCATCTCCTCCCAGTATTTCTAGTTCTGTTTCCTTGCACCATGGTGAGTAATTAGTCCCCAGCTCCCCTAGGCAGTTACACTGTCACTTAGTGATTGCTTTGCCTACCTTCTACATTTCTGGACTGATTTAATATTTCTTTACATGTCTCTTCAATGTTGCAATTACTTTTGCTGATGCTCTTGAATATTTCTGTAGCTGTACCTTCCTCCAACCTGCACCAGGTGTTGTTTCACCAGATCAGACAGAGAACACCTCCTGATTCAGATTCTCTGAGTACAGCACTGCTGTTTGGTTTTAATAATGTATTGCATTTCAAATTTAGATACATACTTCTGTCTGCCACCACCCTTTGCATCATCCCCACTTGTCTCTTTCAGTTAAAGAAAAAAAAAATCACATTAAAAGATTTAAATTTACTTTCAGTTAAAGAAAAAATTTACCATGGAGAGATATCAGTGCAACACAGCAAATGTCAACTTCCCAGCCTGAAATTAAATGTGCTATCAAAGGTAAACCTTAATTAATGTGACCTCTGACAGACCCTACTGAAAGTCTCTTCTGGCAAAACCAGCTGGGAATCTGTCCCTTGTCACTTCTGTCCATTCTGGGACTTTTGGGTTTCCTCTGACAATCAAATGAATATTCTAAGTGCTTGTAGCACATATTGAAAAACACATTTTGTTGCTTTGGGTTTTCAAACCTGGCCATCACAGTTTCAACTCTTCGTCTCCAGCTTTCATATCTGAGCCTTTAAATGCCTTTATTTTTTTCTTTTTATCACACTATTTTTTTCTCTTTTTGCTTTATGAGCTTTTAAAAAATCTGCACAAACATTGTGAGCATTTGCAGAATTAAGAGAAACATCTGCATTATGTTTTGCCTGCAGTCAGAAGTTCAACCTAAATCAAAGCAGGAGTTTCTGGAAGGTCCCTTCACCTGGAACCTCCTCACCACCCCCTCCTTACCTTCCAAAGGCTTCTGGAAATTTATTGTTATTATTGAGGCCAGCACATTTAAACAATTTTTCTCATGATTTATGTGCTATATTTTGACTTAGCTCTGCAAGAGGGAATAGCAGATTTTTCTGGGCACTGTGCCCAGATTATCTTTAATTTTGTCTACAGATCGTACAGTTTCCCAGATACTATACCAGAGATTAGCATTTTATAAGTTAATAAAACAATAAATAAAATAAAATCTGTTCTCATGTCTCCATGTAACAACTGGAACCTTAAAAGCCTCAGCCTTTTTCATAGAATCTTCTCTTTCTTACAGCCAGTAAGTAAAAAACATATCAAATTATATTGAAGTAATATAGAAAAATAAATTATAGGATCCCCTTAGAATTACTTCAAATTTCCCTTTAAATTGCTTAAAAAAATAACTAAAATAAAGTTTCACTATTGAATGTATTATGAATAAGTTATATTAAGAAGGAATCAGACTGGATTCTGCTACTGTATTTTACATAATTTTTCTATTTTTAGAATAAAAAGAGGAAGAAACACTTACTGTGTATTCTGATTTCCAATTGTCCATTTGTAAAAAAAAAGAAGAGGGAAAAGAAAAAAAAAGAAACATGAAATAAAACAATCATGCAAGATCCTTACAGTAAGTACACATTAACAATAAAAATGATATGTCAGATAGTCTGCAGATTTATATTTGACTGAAGTCTAAGGGACAATAAAGGACACAAGTCAGACAGAATCCAAGCACCTGGTGTTTTTTTACAAGCAAGAATTTGCATATGTCCAACACTCCAGTTTTTACCTATCCTTAGTCTATAATCTTCCTTTCCTGATACCAGTAAATATAAGGTGAAAAAGTACATGCAGTTTAACAGGAGCTGTTAAAGAGACCTGGTGCTTGTAGATCAATATTTAATTTGCAGCTTCTGAAGATAAACTAAACTATCCCCAAACCACGAAACAGCAACCATTTCTGCCACATTCCTTACCTGTGATTGTGTAAGGATAATAATTCCAGGCCTTCTCTGTAACATAAAATATTTTGGGAACAACTGCTCTAGCCCAGCTAGGCAGTTTGCTGAAAGTAAAAAGAAAATATAAAATTAGAATATATTATGACTTATGTGTATTGTAGAAATAAAGATACTTCCAAATGTGCCCATCATTTGTGAGGTGTTTGGGGAATACAGCAATACCCAGACTTCTCGGGAGTATTTTCCCTTTCTGCCTCAGCTGTGCTCCCCTCGCAGAGGGAGCAGATGGGTGCCAGAGCAGCAAGCTTCGAGTGGGCTGAACTGAGGCTGCTCATTTTAGGAATTCATGGCCTGGAACCTTTGGCCACACTCAACAGGTGAGGCCAAACAAGGGGTAACGCTGGCACCGTGTGCTCAGCCACAGGGAGGCACTCTCTAACAAGAGGTCAGGAGGAAATGTGGGATTTCGGTCCACTTCAATCCCCGATCCATTATCTCTCACAGAGTCTTCTTTCTTCCTTCATATCCTCTGCCAGCACTGAAGCCCTCATGCTCAGCTCACCTGGCACGCAGCTGTTCCCACACTACCAACACCAACTCCTGAGTAGGAAGCTTTTATATTAAAATTAACAGATCACTCAAAACACCTCGTGAGGCTGGTAGGCAGCATTAGTCTCATTTTGCTGATGGGAAAAGTAAATATCAAAAGTGAAGAGAATGAATGGATCTGATGTTACAGCTCAGAGCTCATTCTGTCAAGAAAACTCACCAGTACAGTGGTACAAAGGCAGCAGAAGCAGAAATCAAAGACACAGATACACCATTTGAATGGATCATTAAAGGGTAATTGAATAATACTATGGAAGGGTGGCAGCATTTTTTTAGCATGGCTCTTGGGGCTCTCATTTCCAGCACTCTGGTCACAGAGGGTACCAAAAACTGATGAACAAAGAAACATTTAAAAAGGCAAGATCACTATAATTCATCTTTCAACCCTCTCTTAATAACTTCAGTTATAAACACTGAAGCTGCCAGGAACAAAGATGCAGAACTAGTTATTTCAAGGACAGCAGACCTTGGACACCACAAATATCCCTGTACTTGGGGGACTCAGTTCAAATAGAGTTGGTCTGGCAAAGCATTGAGCAGAGCACCCAGGCCAAGACTGAATCTGTACTGAACTGCAGGAGATGCTTCCAAACCTCAATTTCCCAAGTGTAAATGTTTGAAATAGTTCTGTTTAGATAACTGTGTGCAGAAAGTAAATTAAGTTTCCATATTAGCGAATTTCTGAAGAAAATACATTTGGGATCATTAAGGCTTATTTAACCATGATCTGGCTACATATAAATATTTTATTTGTCCAGAGGCAAAATGCAGATGTTAGTACAGTATCTACAGATTCAAAGCCAAGTGCATTGACTTTTGCTCTTCAATGACATTGCTCAAAACTGGATTCTTTTCTTTACATAAACCTTTCTTGTGTACAGACTTTTAAGCAGCATTTTACACCCTGCATAACAGACTTCCCTGTAACAGATCTTATGTTTATTTTGTCAGCCTCTGTCAGTGTTTTATGACTGCTCCCCTTACCCCCGCTAAACTTTACTCTGATGCCTAAATTATAAATACCAAAGGATGGAGACTTTCAGCTTCTGAAAACATTACTCCAGTAGGAGAGAAGAGGCAGTAAACAATTCTAAATATAACTAAGGTTACACTGACACTAGAAAACATACATCTGCTCATTTTGCACTTTTTTTGGTTATTGTTGTTTGTAGCATATTTACCTGTCTACCTATCTTCACCAGTACAGCATGTCCTGAAAAAAATAACTTTATGAGCAAAACACAGATTATACTCAGAATTGCTAGCAAGTTCCAGCCACAGACACACATGAATTCTTCCAAGGTCCACTCAAAGAAAAGATAGTATCTCTATATTTCAGCAGCACAGGTATGAAGATCACATTAGCTTTTTTTTTTTATTTTCTTTATTTCCTCATTTCTCCTCCTTCAGATGAAGTTCAGTCTCAAATTTCTTTAAGAGATATCAGTTCAGATCAAAACAGAGCAAAGCAAAGTTTGTTAGGGCAGTGGGCCCAGGAAAAAGAAAAGAGGGAGACGACTGTGCTGGTGTTTCTCAGCAAGGCAGGCAGAGGAGAAGTTTCCAGCACATCCTGTATGGAAGCATGTCTCCTTGAGTGAAATCCTCAAGAGACATCCTGGCCTCCCAACAAAATCCACAGCAGCCTGAAAAACCTCCTGATCCTTTCCAGAAAACTTCAACAGTATTGCAACTGTTTTACTGTTTTACAGCACTTGCCTGTTGAGATAGACACGTTTTTCTGTTAGCTGCCCATTGCCATGGTTGGGATCTTCATAGGGTTCATTCTGCACCACTTCCACACCCTCCCCTCGGTCACTCTGCTCATGGCTGTGCTTGCTGATCATGTACAGCTGTCCAATTCTGTACTGCAAGGCAAAACCAAGAACAAAGTATATTAGTTTTATGCTGCACGGGTATTCAAAAGCCAGTCTTAGTCAATGAGATACTGCTATGTGTAAATAAAAGGTAGTTTGAAGGTGAAAACCATTATCTTATGAAGTCCATGGTGTCACTTGTGGAAAAAATAACAAAGCCTTTGTGCATACAAATGTAAAGAATTAGGCCAGTCCTCTATTATTAGACTTTATAAGTATATCAGTTAAGAATCAGTAAACAGTTAATCCAGTGCTTCCACATGCTGAAATTTAAAGGGACTTTAACCAGCAGGTGAACTCTAAAAGTTCTGTGGGATTCTGGCAGGATTCTTCTGCCCTGCCAACACAATGAAACGCTGAAATAAGATTTGGGGTAACTGTGGCTGGTCCACAGAGACAGGAGGACCAGCTCTTAAGAAAAAAACATGTAGACTCCAAGTCCTTTGAAAAAAGAAGTTTGAGTGACTTGGCATTATTAAATTAGAATTAGAATTAAATATTAATATAAATAATATTATTATATAATGATTATACTATATAATTATTATAAATAATAGAATTATAAATATCTCAATAATAATAATTACACTTAATTATTAATATCAATAAATTACATTTTCATTATTAAAATGCATTTAAGTATTTAATGATAATTTTTCTATGGACTCCCAAGTAACTTAGGAAGCCAAACACTGTGAGGATTGGCCCAACTTTGCTATCACAGAAAAATAAATTGTTGCACTTGATTTTTTTCTCATTATGTCTCATATCTACATCAGGGCTTTTGCCTCCAAAGAAATCTAACAAAAATACATCCTTGAACTTTCATTAACAAAGATTTGAAAGCATAATTGTACTTTCCTGGTCATTTTCTGGTCCGAAGTTTTATTCTCAAGTTCTTTGCACACTCTTGAACACACCAGGGTTCTTGCAACAAACTGTCTTTGGACAAACCCAGATTTCTTGATTGGATCCCTCTCTCCCCCAGAGCAATTTGTTTAGGCATATACATGCTAATCACTTCAATCACATCAATCCCCCTTCAAATACAAAGAACAACCTGTTAATTTAGAGAATGGCTGAGCTACCACACAAGCTGCCAAGAACCAGCTCAGCATAAGCAAACAAAAGCATTGTGACAGTCTGACCTCAGAAAACTCGATGAGATTCTTGTGGTTATTGCATATTATAAACAGCAATCCTATCTCATACTTTAAATGCCCAAATAAAAAGAGCAATTAGCTCAGAAAAAAACCCCAAGCCATCACAAACCTTATTAGCAACTGGCAACAAAACAGTCTTACCAAACAAAATGATAAGGAATAGGAGGATGGAGGGCACCCTATATTAATTCCTCAATTCTACATAATCCAAATTTATTCCCTTACAGCAACAGGCCACAAGAAGGTAAGAAATTTGGAACCGGCATCTTAAGAGAGTAAATCCTAACATTGTTTTACTTGCTAATCCACTTCTCTACCTTTGTGTCTACTGAATCCTTTTTCTCTATCTCATAATATTTGAACATTTTGTCCAAATCTCAAAGGCTCTGAAGAGCCTCACACTAGCTTTTAACTAGATCCACGACAAATTGTCTTCTCTTTTTCTCTAACAAAAATGAATGTATTGGTGCACAGCGAAGGCAAAGTTTGTAGTACATTTGATTTGATCAATTAGTACAGTTTGAAAAAGAATAACTTTCAGGCACATAAAACTGCTCTTCAGGTCTTAAAGTAACACATTTTAAAGCTGAATACAAGTTGAGAAAAAATGCTTTGCCTTTAATTAGATATGTATCAATTAGACCACCTGGGAGCACAGACTTCCTGCCTGTGGACTGATAAGGACAGCAGAAAAGAGGAAAGGTGATAAGGTCCTTATATTCTAATGGAAAGGAAGAGGTCAGTAATTTGTATCCTGTGGACTATGAAAAGGTTAGATGAGGAGTAGAGAGAGGAATTATAGTTTGACAGAAAGTCAATATTTTGATCATGATCTCTATTGGGTTTTTTTATTATCTCATAAAGTTATGAATTTTAGTTGCCATGGACACCTCTGGTAAGTGTTTCATAATTGCACATATCAATATCCTACATCCACGTAGTCCTTTGTAATTTTGCTCTCAGTTTTAATGGCCAAATACAAACACCTCAGTTTCTGTTGGAAATGTTGGCTCAGAAATACCAAGATGAATGTACTTTCACACTGACAGCAAACTGAGGGGTTGTGCTGATGTCTTCATTTGCTCCAGCATCATGAACCAGAGATACCCTCACAACACTGTTTTGTTAACAGAGGTTGTTGTCCCTTCATGGACCCACCCCACCATAAAACACTTGCAAGATATCAAATCCCAAAGACTAAATGAATCTGAGCAGAAGTTTAAGGGAGCTAAGCCTTGTGCCCACTGCACTCTGCAGATGAGGGTCAGTGCTGCTTTCCAGATGCTGCACAGTCAGTGCTTAAAGGAAGATTCTCTGCTGCTGAGGCTCAAAACCACACACGTTCCAATCATACCCACGATCTCACAGGAGGTAACCCAGGCTGCTCAGCACGGTGCCTCCCACTTGGAAGATGCTGAAAGGAACAGAAGGCACCACTGCTGGACAGCTCTCCTGCAGGAACCCCACTGCTCCTCGCCTTCTGCAGGTGATGGCTTCCCATAGCTATGGATCTGACACTGCTCCAGTAGAAATATCCACCTTCAAAGCCAGCTTGGATGGGGCCCTGAGCAGCCTGGTCCAGGGAGTGACATCCCTGCCCGCGGCAGGGGTTGGAATGAGATGAGCTTTGAGGCCTTTCCAACCCAGCCCATTCTACGACCTTTCACAACTACTGAAGTGGCTGGGCAGTTCTGCTGGAAAGCAGCTGCATTCTGCAAAGGAAACATTTGTACATGCACTATAAAATAGCTAACTTAGCTCTTTTGTGTGCTATTAATTTCTTTATATCTGCTGCACCAAATGTTAAAATCATTAGAAAGTAAATTACTGTTACTAAATAACAGTACTATAGTACTATAGTACTATATTATACATATTACTATGGTAATAATAATAGTACTTTACTAAATCAGAGAGTGCACAACTGATATTTCAGATAAAATAGCATTTTTTCAAGTGTATGTTTCTATTTACATGAAAAAAATCCAAGGCAAAGATGTGTCTTTTAGAACTTCCTGGAATTTAAATGCCTGAATAAAAAGTCACAGCTTTTTCTTAATTCCTATGGATATTGTGGAAAAATAACACTTAAGAATCATTTAACAACAGTAACTGATACACATTATTCCTGCAAGGGTAAACTGATGTGCCACTACTATTTATCTTGTTCTATCACAATCTGAATTTCTGTGTTCTTAGCTTTAAGGTAATTTTCCAAGACCATTACTGTTTCAAGGAATTCAGTAAAACTTCACACAATGGCACCTGATATGAATTTGGATCTGAAGAAAAACCCTTGGTAAATTCTTCAGTTTAACAGGGGAAAATTTTTATTCAACAGCAGAGCAAGAAGTTCAATAAACAAATGCATATAATGTGGAATTAGAGATTTTTAAGGGTATTGCTGTGTTGCTTTGGTAGTAGCCCTGATGTTTCCCAAGCTTAATGAGTGAGACTTTGTCTCGGTGCTGACTCGCCTTCTCCTTCAACAGGCAGATGGTGTTTGCTGTTGGGATTCAGTCATACAAGAAACAAGGTTCATTCTAACAGCATAAGGATGGTCAATCTGATTTTGTTTGAAATAATAAGTGAGAACAGAAGCATTTTCATTCCTCAGATAGGAGGGGAAAAAAAAAAGAAAGAAATGAAAAAAATTTAAAAGAGGGTCCACCCCACCCATCTTTCATTTATAGAGTTCCCACCATCTCCAGCAGAAGCTGCACAAGAAATCTTTGTACAAACATGTCTGAATTTTTTTCAGCCTGACTGCCTATTGCTCAAGTTTTGATTTAATGCAAGTCTCAGAGTACAAACTTTCAAACTTCAGGTGGAATATAAAAAACTCTCTCAAAGGAGAAATTATGCCAAAATGATCTCGTATCTGAAATTTTCATACGACTCCTTGAAGTTCTTATCTGAATGCTCACAGAAAATGTAACAGATTTATCACTGGCTTTGTCTTACATAATTCTCATATTCAAAAGAATGGCTGAACACTTTCATCGACGTTTACTTTTCTGTAACTAGACTAAACCATCAGGGATGGTGCTGCCATTTCAATTCGTTCCATTTTTTGTTCTAAGCCAGTAGTGAAACTCCTTCCCGCAGAGAGGAGCTGGAGTCTGGAATACACTGAGTGCCTCTTCTGCTTGCTCAAGGTAACAATTGTTTGGTGAGCTGCATTTTGACAGTGGAAAGTACTTTTCTCATACAGGTTCTAAAACACTAAAACACACCCGTGGCTTCTAGTCCTGTTCTCAGAAAATTGCAAAGGTAAAACAGAAAAAAAGAAGAAGAGCAGCAACAACTAAAATGAAACAGATCTGTTCTTATGCACAAAGGTAGCTCTGTAGGTTCAACCCTGCCTCCACTGATAGCAATAGTTGTTTTGTCATTGACCTCAATTTAGTTAAGATTTATTTCTAGCAATGAAATACAATGAATCAGCTCCATCATCAGTTATATCTGTCCAGCTACACTGAAACCAAGGGCATTGATTATGGCAAAAGAGTAGCAATTTTATTATGGAATTCTGATTTATAGAATGCTGTCTCATTCACAGAAAACAATCTTAAAATTGATTGGTACATTTCTGATTTATTTTCAATTCATAGTCTTTGCAAGATGCTGTATGCTCCTTGTGAATGTATTTCAGGACTTAATTTTATTTCTTTTACTAAAAAGACTAATAGGAATATTATTCATCACTTTTCCACGTTTTGAATTATTCAAAACAATTGCTGATAATTCCTCAAAGGACTACCATGAGACAAACACGATGATCCCGAGGTAAGTTACTTGTCCAAACATGCACAGCCTGTCACTCTC